TTCCAATGCTTCCACCGTGACCCGGCGAGTCGCAGAGACAACGAAAAGGGAAGCCTCAAATCTGAGACAGTAAAATATGGTAGCGAGTCCCCAGGGACTCAGAGCCGAGAAAGACTGCGCTGACAATGCCAGCAGCATGTACAGAAGACAGACCCGCCCTCTAGACAAAGAGGGCTCCCCACAAAAGCAAGACCGTAACTGTCAAACAGTAATAAATATATGATCATGAGCCCAAGATGGGGCTGGACACCAAGACTTACTGACTGACTGAGCGTCAGACGCAATGTGACTTTGGCTTTGACGTTGCCAGCTGTCGATTGAGTGTTGTCAGTTTAAATTCAGCCTGTGAAGAGAATATTAGGAGACTGATGTGAAATGGTCGCCAGCTTGGGAGTTCAGGTTAGTTGTCAGTTGAAAGCTGAGTTATGCACGGGAGCTCCACTGTTAGAAGCCGTTGCCAGGGAACGGCTGATGTAGACACAGCAGGCTGGAAAATGTCTTAACGGGTGCTGGGGTGATTTGTAAAGCGTGGAGATCAGCGCTAGCGCTGTAATTACTTGTAGTTTCGAGTGGTGTGTATAAGTGGGCAATAAATCGAGTCATCAATGTAAATCCCGTCCTAGTCACCCCTATATCTTGAAAATATTACTAACTTTATGGTTTCACGGCAGTTAATTATTGATGTTAATTCTATTCTTGGGTTGTTTACACAGTGTGGTTTAGGGCGATGCTGCCGACGTTTCGGAGTGATATATTGCCACCGTCTTCATAGTCGAAACTGTGTAGAATGTNGTACCTCCGAAAGGTCGGCAGCACCGCCCACAAACACACGGTGTAACAACCCGAGAACAGAAGCAACATGAATAATGTAGACAGCCGCAAGGTGAGTCTTCATCCACGCACTTGTAAATATAATAGGAAGTTACCAGTCTAGGTCTTTGTGTGGGAGACTTTAACAGTTACACGCTTCAAGTACATATTCGCTTTCATCGCTAATGGACTTTCCGTTCTTAGTTTATTCTCTTCCAGTGTTTAATGCAGGTAGATGTAGCCAGAACGTCGCCCTTGCATTGCTGATCTGCACTGCACATGCGCGTATAAAGCCACTTATTAAACTTCATAGACCAGAGCCTTTCTTGAGAAGCTAAAACTCGCTCAACAAGAACTCAACAATGACACGTCTCTGCGCCACATAAATTCAATCGACTCCTTCCCATCCGTTTCAATATTATCATTCCATCTACACTTACGTCTCACAAATTATCTCATCCTTCACATCTTCCTGCTAAAATTTTGTGGGCATCCCTCATCTCTCCAACTCCTGCACATAATCCTAGCATAAAACCAATTTATACATTTTCAATGGATAGATAAACTAGACGCTAGTGTGAGGTGAAGGGTAAAACCCAATTTCTTTACTATATTTATACAAGATAGTCGAATAGTATTTTTCAGCATTTTTATTTATAGTCTTCTGACTTACAGCTCAATGAAGTGAAGCAAAAACTACTTTGCATGTTTCCAGGGAGCATTTTAACTAGACTTGTAGCAATTTTCTCATAACAAAGTTCTTTTTCTTAAACCATACGAAATGATATTCTATTCAGGTTCCGTACTTCCCATTTCCTTGATGAAAACCTGCTCGGACGTGAATGTGCGATATGAGCGGGAGGGATCCGAGAAATACGTCGTGAGGCGTTTATTGATGAATCAGACGTAGTTAACGGAATAGAAAACGTTTCCTAGAATTATATTAAATGTGCTATACCGACAGAATTTCCCTGGCTCCAACGGACTTGGTAATAGGGCCTACAAGCATTCTACTTTATAATTTTTCCGTGTAATGGCACACTCTTAAACTCTCTACTTATTTTTTTTCCTTTGCACTACAGCCCCAGTGGGCCTAGGCCTACCTCCATGAACTTCTCCGTTCACTTCGGTTTTTCTAGATCTTACACATTCGGTAGGACTCCTTGGGCGGGTGATCAGCTCGTCGCAAGGCCTCTACCTGTACACAAACACAGAAAAACGCACACACACAAACTAAACATCCATGCCCTGAGTGGGATTCGAACCCACGATCCCGGTTTCCAAGCGAGCGAAGACAGTACATGCCTTAGACCGCTCGGCTACCGTGACCGGCCTACTTATTTTATACAACCGACTATTTGGATCTCTTCAGCAGATGTGCTGTATAAGCAAAATGGTGTGGCCTATACACTTCGAGCAGATCTTAAAATAGGGCCCTCACGAAGAAGCATAGTATATTGAAGGGCAAATTATATCGTAGCGGTAATGAAACACTCATAATGTGATCATTTAACCACGTGACAGAATATATTTATTATTCGAGAAGCAAGACGAAATGACATCTTACATATGCAAATCGTGTGCGAAAATAACAGGTAACATATAAACATCATCAAGCCTTAGGCACATATTTTAATCGTTTTCTTCAAAGAAATTAGTAGAGAGTTTCAGTTAAATATTGTAAAGGTCAAAGGGCACTACGCGCTTGAAGATCAGCTGCACTTTATTAGCTATCCAAATGCAAAACTCTGTTAAAATTTTTACTTGAAAATATTTTGGAAGAATCTTTTATTGAGTTTTGAAACCGGTTATCCATTGGCGTAATTACTGATTTCTTTGTTCGAAAGTTATCATCTTTGCATATGCACAACAAAACTTCTTCCTCCTCTGTCACCATAAAACAGATCGGTAATGATTTCACAAAACACGAGGATGCATTCATGTAAGATTTATAGATGCACACATTCGTTGCTACTCAGCAGCAAGCCATAGGCTCTTAACCTTAATGAGTTTTTTTAGTTTTTTCTTCAAGCACTGACATGCACAACTTTCTTTTACAAGCATTTAATTTGTTGTTTCAGGTTTTACATTGATACCTAAGCCACTGTTATTTTAATGTTATTCTGCATATTTACGTTCTTTGAAGAGGCGCAGCGAAAATTCAAACATTCAGAGAACATATAATGTTAGTGGATACGGCGTTGGTGTGAATAATAAAATAGAACAGACTGAAACCCCCTATATTTGGGGTTGATCGGTGTACCCACTAGATAAATAAGAGTCGTAAAAACAAGGCGAAATTGCGTTCATTTATCTTGTTAGGTATTATTTGTTTTGGAGGACGAAGCACAAGGCATTCACAGCAATAATAACCAAGCAATTTTATCTTACATGTTTTAGATAAAAACAACTTTCATTTTCATTATCTCCTAATAATTTTATAATTATATCAGATTGCATGAAACATAACACTCCTGCTATTCACTTAGTTCAGAAATAATTTTCAGTGAACCAATATTCTATTTTCTTTCAAGAAAGTGTCATATTTCTCAGGTAGGTCAACTACACGGTATAAGAATGAGAAAACAACTTTGAAATTTCACTTTACTTTGCCGCAATCCATGATTCAAATGCATGTGAAGTGAAGAGAGACTGGCAACAAGAGCCAGCATAAACAGTGACCCTACACAGGCAAACCTATATTCCGGCCACTACTGGATTCGGCCCAAACCAACATGACGAATAATACAAATTCCACCGTCAATGCAACTATAATTTATCAATTATATTCCACTACATGTTTCGACCCTTATAAGGTCATCCTCAGGTGATGTTATTTACACATTTTCACTGTTGAATTGTAAACGAAATTAAAGGTTTCATGAACATTTTTGGTGGGTATGATGTTCTTCAGCTTCATGATTCACCTGAAACCTCAACGAGGATTTCTCTATCAGATGTTTTAATAAAAATTCGACCAAGAACAGCCACGGGACGAATTTAAACAATAAAAAGCGTAAAAAGTAAGTAATTGAAAGGTTGAAAGCTTTGAAAATTAATAACTTGAAATGTAAGCCAACACATGCAAATGCACAATAAGCATTATGCCTACAGAGCCTTGTTAGATACATAAGTCTCTGTTATTCATCTTGTGCTCATAGCTGTATGCAGTTGCCTAGAGTTAAGAACTGTGAGTGTAAGATGTGTAATGTTCCTTGTTTTATTAATAATATTAATGATTTTTAGGCAGTAACCTCGTGGAAACAATATTCTTAAAACATAAAACTACTTTTTAAGTAACAAGATCCACAATTTAAACAATTTGCTTCAAATAAAGCCATGACAAGTTTTAAATTGTGATATAGCAGTGGAAAACGCTCATCGTTATCAAATAAGCATAAAATAAGTCTGATATATTATGTAGAACCGCAGTTAAGAAAATTGTTAAGAAACTAGCTTTTTTTTATTCTTGCTGTTGAATTACTGTGACAAATGAAGAACTACTATTTTGAAGCAAGACCTGTCTCTAGATCCTACAAAATCACGAATTTCACTTAAATCTGAGAAAGTTAGGCTGTAAGCTGATTCCCGTAACAATTGTCGCATGTACACTGAGTTCATTGCACTAGTTGATAAGCAAAAAAATTCCACCTGTGATAAGTCATCCTTACAACCCTCCTACGTGTCATACTCACTTGACATAACCTGTCACTCACAGAGTGTTGATGGGCTCACTCAACAGTATAACGGGAATTCCTTAAAGACTACGTTACACATGACTAGCGCGTCATGCTTAACAGGAGTGTTCTGAGTGCGGTGTTAGACAACGCTAATACAATCCCTACTCTTTCTACATACCTCTTCCCCTCAGTCAGTTTTCCCCACATGTCCCCACACGTCCAACGCTTTCTTTACTGTTACTCACAGCATATCCTGTTCAGTTGCAGTGTGCGTTTCGAGTGAAAGAGACGAAACAGTTACAGTTCCTGTTGAATGTGTTTCACCTAACAATGCATTCCTAACCTTATCTAGTCATACAACTTCCGATAGTATTATTATTATTTTTTACATGGGTGCAAGAGTACACAAGGAAAACGACGTTACCAACATTTAAAACAGTGTTATCCAATAAAGAATAAAAGTGAAAATGTCAGTGAAGGCTTATATGGACAGCAGACGACATCTCATACCTTGGTTTTCGTGCCCACAGAGTCAGAAGTTGCCGGCTTTGGGTAGCACCGGTCACCTTAAAAGCGTGTCTGTATCCGCTTCACGGTTAAATCATCATCAACAGCAGCATCAGGATTCATCAAGATCTAGCTCAACAGCTGCTCCCACACCAGTGTCTGCATGCTTCCCAGTGCTCAATAACAATAACACCAATACGAGCAACAATAACAATAATGTTCTGGACAGTAGCCCATCTTTGCAACGACTCGATCCGCACGGACGTCGACTACCACTTACACCTGCTGGTAAGAATCATTTATTTTCATAACTCTTACCCAACTTACACATATAGGTCAGACATTTACAGTTCCGTAAAATGACACCTGTTTAGATCAATTTCGACATATGTCACATATTTAAACACGAACTCATGAGCTCATGAACTACCCGCACACAAATTTTACCTGTGCACTCTGCCACTAGACTGCCCTCCGTACTGGTGGGATCAAGGACATTTGAACTGTGAATGTAGGAACAAAAGACGAATCACCGAGTAAGAACAATCTGCACTTCAAAAGAAGCGATTTATAGAAACTGTAATTTTTCACTGTTGAGGTGTATTTTGGAAAGAAGTCCCGGGGGGAAACATTTTGTACAATTATCATCATTTATCATTTAGAGCAAGATCCAGTGTGGATCGATGTATCGGAATTCACATGTAGTGTACGAGATGATGGAATACGACCTCTCGATTAACGTAGTGCCCGAGTTCATAAAAATAATCTGTTCGTAAGGGATATTGACATACAGATATGGCTTATTTAAGCTTACTAGTCAAACCGGAATTCCAGTCTTGTCGGCGGAAGGGGAGCAATTGAGAATTCGTGTAATCAGTTATTGATCGTTTTATTACTTTTTTAGATAATTTCCGTACTGGTTTCATAAGGGGAACGCGGTAAAGTAGTTGGTTGAGGCACTATGCTACAAGCCGGAAGGTAGCGGAATCGTACCCCGATTAGGTGGATTTTTTCAATTTACCTAATCCATCCAGACGCACTATGGACCTGTGGTCGACTCAGCCTCTAACAGAAATGAGTACCAGGAATATTCTTGAAATGTTCTTGGGGGTAAAGGGCGGCCGGAGTGAAAGGCGGACAACCTTAGCGCCATCTATGAGTTCATTGTCTAGAAAATGTGGAAACCTAAACATCTCACAACCCAATGGACCTCCACGGCCTGTTACATGGATACCTTTACTTACTTAAGGGGCCTTTTATCCAAAATTGAGGTACCATTTTTCAGACAGTAGCATCTCACACTTTTTCAAGTTATAATTGATCAGGCACACTTCTGCACTGTGACAGTCAGTGCCATGCAATTTCTAATACTACCAGTTGAAACTTGATATGAATTTGTTGGTATTTTATTATTATTTATTTGACTTCAAATGGGTTTTATCAGTGGCAGTGGACTACAGACTAGTAAATTAAAAATTCTTTGTTTTCTATTCAAGAAAATGTAAGTTTGTTTTTAAAAAATAATGTATATTCATGTGAGGCAGTGGATCCATAAAGCACTGTGATTTAAAGTCTGAAGCACAACTGTTGCTTATGCTAAGTCTACCTCTTCCCAAATATTGATATGGTGAGGCAATGGTAGAAAGAGAAACACCTACACTTTTTGGATTCCCCTCTGAACAAGTGGGGCATGGGTTAGTGTAGTTGGTTGAAGCATTATGCTACAACCATGAAGGTTGCAGGTTCGAGTCTCGATGAGGTGATTTTTGTTTCCGTTGACCAAATCCTTCCAGCCGCACTAAGGCCCCGGGGTCGACTCAGCCTCTTAAATAAATGACTACCAGGAATATTCTTGGTGGTAAAGGGTGGCCGGCGCTTAAGGCTGACATCCTTACCACCATCTGTAAGCCGATTGTCTAGAAGATATGGGAGCCTCGACATCTCACAACCCCTATGAGCCTCCATGGCCTGTTACAGGGATAGCTTTACCTTTTTATTTTTTTCTTTACCTCTGAACAAGTAACAGCATCAGATGAAATATAAGTATCCAGATAATCAAAACAAAATATCAAATTCCCTCTGAGTGAGTAAGGGGCTGCCCTTATTCGATTACCAAATTGTGCTATTCTTTGTATGGCAAACTCTGTCCTAAGTGCAACAATTTATTGTAGTTCTTTTGTCTTCTTTTCTTCTACACTACCTTTTTTCGGCCATAAATGGCCATCATCAGGTGTATACTCACACGTAGCTGTTACACTGCACGTAGTTTAAAATTTAAAAACACCAGCTTTCTTAATTGTTCATTTCTCCATTGTTAATAGGTCCCGATATAACTAAAAATTAAAAAAATTATAAAATTAAAAAAAATAAATTTAAATTGAAGATTTTAAAAATACCAAAATTCAAAAAATCAAATTGACATATGTAAATTAACAAAGATTTTATACATATCTGACAAATATCAGCAAGGGGATTCTGATATATCGGGACCTATTAACAATGGAGAAATGAACAATTAAGAAAGCTGGTGTTTTTAAATTTTAAATTACGTGCAGTGTAACAGCTTCGTGTGAGTATACACCTGATGATGGCCATTTACGGCCGAAACATGTAGTGTAGAAGAAAAGAGGATGAAAGAACTACAATAAATTGTTGCACTTATGACGGAGTTTGTGTCATACATTGTGCAGAGTGTAACAGGATGCTTAAATATAATATTGTTCTATTCCTGCCTATTTAGTATGTTTAGGATAGGCGCCAATGGGGGCGATCTTGTGAACGTGGTTATGAACCTTTGAGACTTACAAAAAGCAGAACATATATTGACTAAGTGAATGACTGTTAGGTTCTCAAGAACCTATTCATGGAGTTAGTTAAAAGTCTGATAGTTTGTTAGCTATTATGATGAGGCTGTACCCTATATCAGTCATTTTATTTCCCCCCCCCCTTTTTGTTTTTGTGATGTACATGAATGAGTATGACCACTTACGCGCAAGTTGTGCTTGCCATAGTAAGGCGTAAAATTTACATCATGTTGCTCATTTTCGTTCTCAAAGTAAAACTAGGAAATAAATATAAGTAAAACGTAAAGGTATCCCTGTCACAGGCCATGAAGGCCCATAGGGTTGTGAGATGTTGAGATTTCCACATTTTCTAGACAGTCGGCTCACAAATGGCGGTAAGGTTGTCAGCCTTACCCACCGGCCGCCCTTTACCCCCCAGAATATTCCGAGAATATTCCTGGTTCTCATTTCTGTTAGAGGCTGCGTCGACCCCAGGGCCATAGTGAGGCCGGAAGGATTAGGTCAATTGAAAAATCCAATGACCTCATCGGGACTTGAGCCCACTACCTTCCAGCTTGTAGCATAGTGTCTCAACCAACTACGCTACAGCATGCCCCATAAAACTAGGAAGGTGCTCTAAATATTCGTAGTCAGTGATATTGTTGCTGATGGTATGAAATGATACACCATTGGTTACTGGCATACATACGTTTTTTACAAAAAAAACATTCAACAGATTAAATCACCTAAGAAACTAATCCAGTGACAGATAATGTCATGTTGGTTTTTGTCGCTCACTTTCTAAAATGAGCATATTATTTTTAGTATTTTAAATGTCTGTCATTTGTTGACAGAAACATTTAATATACTGCCTCGTTTGTGACACATGTAGCAGAGTAAGAAGTACTGTGTACAAGTAACAGTAACATTGTCTCACAAATATTCAAAGTTTTTCTTTTTCAACAAATGTAAAACATTTGTACTTAATCTTTCCAGAGGCACTGAAGTACTATGGCAGCAGACTCACAGAATATGAAAGAATTGAAGTGGAAGTGTACCCAGAAATCTGGTATTTGGGCCTTGATGCATGCAAAATCCACGGAGATCCACATAATGGTGAATTTGATGATGATAATGGCAGCTATAATAAGGTGAGTAACATCCAAATAATACAGCAGTATACTCAGGGTTTGTAAGTTGAGACAGGGATAGAAAGAAAACTCAACCTGAAAAGTTGCAGTTATTGTGAATATAATGCAGCTTTACTTTGGATTCAGATATTGGTATAATTTACAGGAGAGCATATTTCATGGAACTGTTGGATCATAGAATCGCCTCTGTGGTCTAGTGGTCAGAGTTCCTTGCTACAGATCCAGAGGTCTCGGGTTCCATTCCCGGCGATACCAGATTTTCTGAGAAGTAGTGGGTCTGGAACGGGGTTCACTCAGCCTTGTGAGGATAATTGAGGAGCTATTTCAAGAAAATAGCGGCTCCGGTCTAGAAATCGAATATTAGCAGTCGTGGGGATTCATTGCGCTGACCACACAACACCCTCTATCCGCCAAAGTTGGCACTAACTTCGCTGACAAGCGGTGGTCGCTCGGTCGGTGTAGTTTGCTTGAGGACTAAAGCCAAGGAGCTTGTTGTATCATAGAGGCTCTACTAAACGGAATGTAATGAACTCTCATGATTCAGAATGTGTCCATTGATAGCATTTTGATTTTTCTTTTGCATCAGAAATTAATTATAAACCTCTTGAATGATTTTTAATGATCTCTGAAAATAATTCATAAAAGATGAAATGGAAATGACAGGGTTTATGTATAACAGGGGAGAACAATAATTACAGTTTCTAAGCCTTTTCATAAATCAATTGATTTTGGGGAAAGCGTAATTGATAATTTTATTGAATTGAATTTATTTACATTCTGTAAATCCTAAGCAGGTTAGTACCTTTGGATACAGAACAAGTCAAAAGGTTACATACATAAGTACAGGCAATTTTAGCTTAAAAATTAATATAACTTAATTTTACATCATTCTCTATTTACATTGAAGTATTCATCTAAAGAGTAGAAGGAATGAGCATGTAGATAATTCTTTAACTCTGATTTAAACTTTTTAGTATCATTGCCCAAGTTTTTAATACTTTGTGGCAGATTGTTGAACACTTTTATGCCAGTAAAGTAGACTCCTTTTTGATATACTGATAAAGTTGATGAGGGTAGGTGGAAGTTATATTTTTGTCTAGTATTCATGTTATAGACATCAGAATTTAATTTGAATTTATCTTTGTTGTAAACAACAAATAAGAGAAGCGATAATATGTATTGTGATTGAAGAGGTAGAATTTTTAATTTCTTAAATAATTCTCTACATGAATCTCTACTTCTACATCCTGTAATGATTCTAATTATATTCTTTTGTATTTTAAAAATTATTACACTATGTGAAGAGTTCCCCCAAAATATTAATCCATACTTCATAATAGAATGAAAGTAGGCATGGTAAACCATCTTCAGTGTTTCCTGTGACATAAAAGGCTTAATTGATCTCATCGCATAGCAAGCTGCATTTAATTTAGGTATAATTTGTTCAATTATGACTAATGGCTATGACTAACGGTATAAAACTTGATGCTTTTGAATTTGGTTTCCAGGTCCTCCATGACCACATATCATATCGGTATGAAATCCTTGAGGTAATAGGGAAAGGCAGCTTTGGCCAGGTCATCCGTGCATTAGATCATAAAACCAATCAGCATATAGCCATTAAGATTATTAGGTGAGTTTTGGAATGAGGTTTATTTGAAATACATAGTGGCTCATCTTTAGAGATGCCACAAGACTGTTGCTATTAAAATTGTAAGTCAAAACACTGGTTTAACATTATTGCAAAATGTAAAGTTCACTTTCAAATTTGAGGAATTTCATTGTTTAAGAAGTTTATATGTCAACACAGTGCCTGATTAAGAGAGTTTTATTTTCATGTCACTTTCATTATGACTGGATATTGTTACATTTTTAGTTTCGACAATTTATATTTTATTAACAAAGAAATTGAAATGAAACACCTAGAAGTGGCCTGTAGCCTAGTGATCAGAGATCCTGTCTACAAACCCAGAGGTCCCAGGCTTGATTCCCAGCACTGCCAGATTTTCTGAGAAGTAGCGGCTCTGGGTCCACTCAGCCTCGTGAGGATAATTGAGAAGCTACTTCAAGGAAATAGCGGCTCCGGTCTAGAAAACCGAGATTAATGGCCGTGGGGATTCATTGTGCTGACCACGCAACAGCCTCTATTTGCTAAAATTGGCACTAACTTCGCCGACAAGCGGCGGCCGATCTGTTGATATAGTTCACTTGCAGACTACAGGCCACAGAGTTTGCTTTTTTTTTTTTTTTGGAACAAAGAAATATCCATTGTTCAGCAAAAAGATACCAAGAATCTGGAGACAAGTGGCTCTTACTGATATTGTTACTATTAAGCACTTTATACAGTAATCAACGTATTTTCTGAAGGACTCTATTTTCTATGATATAAAACCACTTAAATTCAGCCAACATTTTGTGGAAGGTTGTTGCCTTCATCTTCAGGGTTGAAGAGCAAGCCAAGCAAGGGCTTGCTTGCTGACTGCTTCATGCTGGTTTCCTGCTTGGCATATACGTTTGAAACCTGAAGATGGAGCCAGTATATTCCACTGAAGCATCAGTTGAGTTGTAAATGACTGTATGGTGTCTGATTTTCAATTTTTGGTGGGTTCACATAGAAATTCTCTTGGACTTTTGTTTTTGATTGCTTGCATGAGAAAATCCACCTGTGACCACTTTCTAGCAAGTGACATGCTGCATCCTGTTTTTAGACAAAAGGATGGTAAAACTGATCCTCAAGAAAATTCATCTAGATAGATTAGAACACCATGTATGTAGCATATACACTCAAAAATCCATTAGAAAGGTGACATTATAGATAAATAATAGAAAGTAAGTGGTTATAATCTTAAACTGGTGTTAAAATATTATTTTTTTTACAGGAATAAGAAGAGATTTCATCATCAAGCACTTATTGAAGTCAGGATCTTGGACCATCTTCGCAAGAAGGATAAAGATGGCTCTCATAATATCATTCACATGTTAGGATACTTCTACTTCAGAAATCATCTCTGCATAAGCTTTGAGCTCATGAGGTGAGGTGATACTTAAAATTCATATTAGAGTTGCTGAAAATAGTAAATGAAAATGTGACTACAAATGTAGCTTTCAGTAAAATCCCTAATCATTTAATTAAACAGAGCAAAGTCTACATAGACACATATCAAAATTCTGGATACTAACATATTTTCAAACTTATCTTCATTTTATGGGAGATTTGGGGCATGCAGTAGCATAGTTGGTTGAGGCACTATGCTGCAAGCCTGAAGGCCACGGGTTCAAGTCCCAGTGAGGTCATTGGATTTTTTCAATTGACCTAATTCTTCCAGCCATTCTATGGCCCTGGGGTCGACTCAGCCTCTAACAGAAATGAGTACCAGGAATATTTTTGGGGGTAAAGGGTGGCCACCACATAAGGCTGACAACCTCACTGCCATCTGTGAGCCAGTTGTCCAGAAAATGTGGGAACCTCAACATCTCACAACCCTATGGGCCTCCACTACCTGTAACAGGGATAGCTTTACTTTACGTTTATGGGAGATTTTTATAATGAGGTTCTATAAAAGAGCATTGTTTATTTAGTTTAAATTAGCATTTCTGAAAAGAGCCAGGATAGCACAGTTAGAGGGTTCAGAGTTTGAGTCCTGGTATGGGGCAAGATTTTTCTCCTCTCCATGTCATCCAGACTGGTTCTGGGGCCCACCTAGCCTCCTATCCATTTGGTACCAGGGGCTCTTCCCCTGCAGTAAAGCCGCTGGAACATGAAGCTGACCACTCACCTCCAACTAGTGCCAAGTCAAGAATACATAGATCTCTTCATACTCTCCCCCATATGCCTTCATAGCATAGTGCTTAATGAAGCACAGAGATAACTTTACCTTTTATCTTTTTTATAATATTAAAAATCTGTGTTCTTGGACCGAATATTTACACAGACTGTCAAATTTTATCATATGGCATAAAGTTAAAATATTTCAGAAACTTGAGAAATTATCTCAATTTTTGTGTAAAATTTTGCTTCTTCTGACTCCCATATTCACTCTAGGCAGGGGTGGTAATTATAATTTTGCGTCTACATTAACATACAACAAAGTATGAGTATTGTCTGTCACAAGTCATATTGAATATGAAAGCAGCAGTTGGTTATTTGCCATAGCAACAACTTACAAAGAATGATAAAATACAACACCAGGTGTCTCATCCGCAATATGAGTTCAGTACTAATTCAGTTTACAATGTATAATACTGATTTTGTGATTAACTGATAAATAAATGTTATTGTGATCCTGGAAAGAAAGTTTTCAAGCATATATGATTTATGTGTCATATATCAATTAATGTTTCCTGATGTGACTCTTTTATGTAAAGAAAACTGTGCACTTCATAATTCTTTTACAAAAGTAATGAATTATCACCACTGTTGCTGCCATGACCCCACCACCACCAATATTTTGTCATCATAGTCAACATTGTCATGACCACTATCATTCTGATATCTGTTGTTGTTATTGTTTACATAATATTTGCCAGAATAATCAATCAGCAGGTATGACAAATTAAAAAACTCCACTTGGGATCCATTTTAAATGGATGGCCACTTTGTGGAATGAAAAGGAATTCCCTAATATTCATTAATAGTTGTTCTAGACAGCAAAGCTGTAGAATGTATCATGTCAACACTCTTCTAAACTGTAACCTACAATTTAATATCTAATAATAAAAGTTTAATGTAGTATATGTTGCTGAAAAATAATGGTTTTATCACCTGTATTTGTTATCTTTTAGCCTAAACCTGTATGAGCTGATAAAGAAGAACAATTACCAGGGCTTTAGTCTGAGCTTAATTCGACGGTTTGCCCACTCTCTAGTGCAATGCCTCAAATTACTGCACCGGGAAAACATTATTCACTGTGATCTCAAACCTGTGAGTATGACAGAAGTTATCTCAATTTTCTGACACTCCTCCGTGTTAACTATTTGTAACTAAAACAACATTCCATCTTCATTATTAGACCTAGACCTTTTATTTCACATAATTGAATTTTTTCTTGTGGTTAATTATAATTACTTTGCATCACTATTCCAAACACTATAATTATTTTTTTAAACCTGTAACTTCTTAAGTAACCATGCAAATTTTAAGAGTGGAACTAATGCTCATGCTATGGGATATAGGATTATGATATTTTGCATGTTATTGAGTATTTGAAAAGTACTTGTATGCAAGTTTAATCATACCATTCTTGTTACAAATTGAAAATGGAGACTTACATTCATATATGATATGAGGTTCTCACAGCAATGCTTGTGAGGGGTTCAGTCCTCTTGAATATAATGCAGTGTAGTCCACTGAAAGTCAACCAGTGTTTTGGAGGACCTTGCTGCCTCTATCTATAGGGTTGAAGAGCAAGCCAAACAAGGAATCAGCACGCTGATTATTTCATGCTGGTGTGTTGCTTGGCTTTCTCTTCAACCCTGAAGCTTGAGCTTTGGTTTTCTGTCAACAGACTGCATGTCATTTTATCTCACAAGATATGACTCTTTATAAGCATTGAGTTCTATGACTGAAACTTATGAAAATTAGTATAAAATATTGTATGCCAACAAAGTGTGAACATGTTCACAGTATCTTTTCTCTTTGTCTGTAACTGTCAATATGGTGACAGGAGGAAATTTTTAACGTTTGCTGTCTTCATGCTGAATTCAGGGGCAAAGTTTTATGCTAGCAATGCTGAATTATTGGGTTTGCTGTTTGTTGTTAGTTAGTAGCCATGTCATGTTCATAGTCATGCACGTTTGGTACTAGATATATGGAAATGTCAGTAGATATTATAAAATTACTAGAACTGTAATTTGTTTCCATCATCAAATAAATGTTATCTTGTTACAGGAAAATGTACTCTTGAAACAACGAGGTAGCAGTTCTATCAAAGTCATTGACTTTGGCAGTTCATGTTACTCTCACCAGAGGATGTACACATACATCCAGTCTCGGTTCTATCGATCTCCAGAAGTCATACTTGGTCTACCATATGGGACTGCAATTGATATGTGGAGTCTTGGTAAATAACACTAATTTTCCATATTGTTGTTATGCATGTATGTACACACATGCAGGTGCTTGGAATATGAACATCATATAGCTGTTTTTACTCAAATTTTGAAACACGTTACCTGCAGACATAATCACTCTTTATCATACTATATTTAAATCACCCTGTAGCCCAAATTAAATGACAGAATTTAATTACAACTGTGTCTCCTCTTAAAGTATGTAAATCTCTTCAACAATATTAATGATAATAATACAGAATGAAATATATGGAAACAGAACATAGATCACAAGATTGAAAACATTTCATTTGTGTTGTCATGTGTTAGTGACTTGACACAGGTTCTGGATTCGTAATTGGATTTATTGTACACACTGCAACTACAAGTACCTATAGCAGTTTCACTAATTCACACAATCTACAAATAACTACAACACACACACTAAGTCTTTTCAGTTTATCTTTACTAGTCACTGCTAGGTTATGGCTCCCAACAATGTAGATTCCTCAGCTTCCATATTCACATCCTTCTTGGCTGGTGACTGTCTCACAGCTACCTCATTGCCCCAGCTTTCAACTCTCAACTAATTAACTAACTTTTGTCCTATTGGTTCTTGTTACGTAGCCTCAGGCCACACCACATAGCAAATACTGTCTCCAATGATGTCTTTGGGTGTTGAGTGCATATCCATGTTTACCTAGCTGTTGCCATGCAACAGACCCTGTAATCATGTCACAATATGAGTCACAATATGATCTGTTACATGCAGGAGATGATGAGTTTTCAAGTGATAAAACTTAAATAATCACGCTGGACGGTGTTGTTTTTGTCTTTGTAATATGCTAAGATATTAGTAAATACTATATGTAGCACACTACCTGAGTCAAGAAGGCAAAAGAATGAAAAATACTATTTGATTAGTATGTTACAAATATCCCCAGTTGCAAAATTAGTTTGATCATCATTAAATTGACATCTCATAATACAGTAAACTCTTAGTACAGTGGACTGGGGCAGGGGGTCTGTTATCACTGATGTCTTCTATAACCAACTGAAAGGGTGTTCACTGAAGTACACCAAAGCATACACAGCCAATACATGCAATAAACACACAATGTGATTATATAATGGTTTTTATATTGGGGTTCATTTTTGTTTTAAATAGTTCTGTAACTACAAAACCTTGTTACTGCCTTAACATCTCTAAAAATTCACATTTGTATGCAGTCACATTTTATACATTATATCTGAAATCCATTACATGTGGGTCAATTTTAATGAGGGTTTACTGTATAAATTTTTTTGAGAAGTGTTTTATCATAATAAATTCTTTGAGTCCTAAGTGAATTACTTTGTTTCTAATGTGATCCAGCTGAAAATATACTGTGTATTCCTTGAGCTTTCTAGAGAAATTTAAACTATTTATAAAAATAAGGTTCTGAAGAGGTATGCTGAAATGATATGAAAAGAACAAAACAGATTAAACTACGGAATTATTTCAATGTTTTTAACTTAAAGCATTTGTGTTATACAGGATGCATTCTGGCTGAGCTCTACACAGGTTACCCTTTATTTCCGGGAGAGAATGAGGTGGAGCAGCTGGCTTGCATCATGGAAGTCCTTGGAGCTCCACCTGAGGATGTCATTATGAATGCCTCAAGAAGAAGGCTCTTCTTTGGTGCATATCCTATTCTTTTGTTACCAGAAAAATATGCAGTGCTTAAGGAAATGTTGAGAACATAAACAGATAAATATTTATTCCTTTTCAGATTCTAAAGACAACCCTAGGTGTATTACTAATAGTAAAGGTAGGAAGAGAAAACCCGGATCCAAAGACTTAGGCACCACAGTACGATGCAATGATACACTGTTTGTGGACTTCATATCGAAATGCCTGGAGTGAGTATGAGATTTGAATAAAATACACAGTTGGAAATAATATGGTCTTGATAATATCTGGAGTTGGGATACCTCAGTCAGTATAGCAATGGGCTATCGGTCGGATGGCACAGGTTCAATTCCCGGCAGTGCAACATTTTTTTCTTCTCCACAGCATTCAGACTGACTCTTGAGACCCATCCTGCCTCCTAATCAATGGGTACCGGGATTCTTTTCCCAGGGGGTAAACTAGAGGGGTGAATAGGTGACCACTCACCTCCATCTAGTCCTGAGGTCAAGAAATGTGGAGCTATACCTCCACTCCCCTGTATGTCTTCACGGCATAGTGCTTAACTAATTAAGCACGGGGACAATGTTAGCTTTCTTTTTTTAGTCTTGATAATTTCTATAATTACAGAGCCCTCCATTTGTTCTTTTCTGATGACTGGAAAGGAAAGAATTAACAACACAAGTTAAATATATTTCCCACGTTGTTGTAGGAAGATCTGCAGTTAAATTATGAATATATAAGTTTAAAAGGTATATTGCTTTCCTTTTCAGCATATAAAATTATAACATTTTGGACATATAGGCCTACAATAGGTCTCTTCTTGGAACTATCTATGCACTGATTAATTAGCTATATCTAAATCTAGAACACGGAGAATTAATTTAAAGACACGTAAAAAAAAAAAGTAAAGCTATCCCTGTACCAGGCCGTGAAGGCCCATATTGTTGTGAGATGTTCAGGGTCCCACATTAGCTAGACAGTCGGCTCAAAGAAGGTGGTAAGGTTGTCAGCCTTACACACCGGCCGCGCTTTACTCCCCAGGAAAATTATTTAATTAATTCCTGGTACTCATTTCTGTTAGAGGCTGAGTGAACCCCAGGGCCATAGTGCGGCTGGAGAGATTAGGTCAATTGAAAAAAAAATCCAATGACCTCATCAGGACTTGATCCCATGACCTTCCGGCTTCTAGCATAGCCCCTCAAGCAACTACACTACCGCGTGCCCCCAATTTAAAGACACGTATGATTATTTATAGTTGTCTATGCTCTTAATTGTCCTCATGTACATGGTGCAATCCAAAAGTTCCCGAAATATATTAATAAAAACTATTACATCTTACCTAGATCTTATTCTGCACCATCACCTTCAAAGTAGTCCCCTTGGGAGCGCATACACCGATCCCAGCGCCTCTGCCACTTTTCAAATGCATCCTGGAAGTCTTTCTTTGTTAGGGTGTTTAGTACCATCTGTGTTTCCGCTTGAATTTCCTCAACTGTATCAAATCTTTGCCCCTTCAACTTCATTTTCATCTTGGGGAAGAGAAAGAAGTCGCATGGAGATAAGTCTGGTGAGTACTGTGGGTGGGGAACAACTGCCATCTTGTTTTTAGCCAAGAATTGGTGCACAATGTAAGCCGTATGCGGTCGTGCGTTGTCATGGTGGAGTACCCAGCCGTTCGTGCGCCACTTCTCTGGACGTTTTCTCCTCATGTCCTCCCTCAAACGCCTTAGAACATCGCGATAGAACTCTTTATTGACTGTCTGACCAGGAAGGACGAACTCCTTATGAACAATCTCGTCAATATAAAAGAAACAGATCAACATGGACTTAATGTTGCTCTTGACTTGTCGATCTCTTTTTGGCTGAGGTGAAGAAGGGCTCTTCCATTGCAATGATTGCTGCTTACTTTCAGGATTGTAGCCATAAACCCAACTTTCGTCATCATGACCTTTGAAAGAAAGATAGGATCCTCTTGAAGCTGTTGTTGAAGTTCCCTGCAGACTTCCAAGCGATGCTGCTTCTGTTCATTTTGCAACAGTCGTGGCACAAACTTCGCCGCAGTCCTCCTCATGTTCAGTTCTTCTGACAAAATTCGTTGACATGTACCATAACTTAGTCCCAAGGTGTTACAGAGGTCTTAGATGGTCAGTCTACAATCTTGCAGAATCAGATCCCTAACTTTCGCGACATTTTATGGTGTGGTGCCAGTTGACGGCCGTCCCGAACGATCATCGTCAGTCGATGTTCGGCCATTTCTGAAATGCTTAGATCAGTCGTAAGTTTGTGTCTAACCTAAACTGTTGTCAACAAAAGCTTGCTTCAACATTTGGTGCATTTCTGCGGCAGTTTTTCCAAGTTTAAAACAAAATTTTATAGAGACGCGCTGCTCTCTCAGGTCAGCCATCGCAAAACCGCAAACTCACAGAAGCACAACAATGGAAATACGTTCACCAATAATAAACCCAATCATTCAACTCGACGCTGCTTGCCACACTGATTCAAGAAGGATGTGTGAGGAGACGCCTAGTGGTATTTGAACGTACTCCTAACCATTCGTGCGCAAAATTAAAATTTTGGAAACTTTTGGATTGCCCCACCTACATTACTTTGTTGTTCTAAAAGTGTAATTTTATATAAACACTGGTGTGCAGAAAAATCTGCACTGAAATTTGAGGAAAATTTTGTTAGTTATGGTAGTTCTTACATTTAATATATTTAAGTTCTTGTATGCAATAAACATTGTTTCTGTGGCCTTCAGAATGTGTTTCATTACTATGAGTACTATGAAAATATACTCACTGTCAACATGGTCCCAGTACTTTCTTCATGGGGAAAAGAATTGGAAAGGAAATTTACTTCAGTTTGGACCCATGCATGAAACAGCAAAGCTAACACTTTGTCCAAGTTTTCCTACCTGAAATAAAGGTCTGTAATTATCCTTTCACATTATTAGTGTGTGAGATATAGTATGATGGAGAGATGGATACTGTGAATTAGATAATGCCATAGAATCAAAACATAATAGACAATTTGACAGGCTTATTGATACAGGGAGATCGAAAAGTCGTGCACATTACACTAAGCAATTATATTTTGCTGGTTTAATGCACAAACTACAAGACATACAGCACTTACTATTAATGTTTATAACCTTACATCTTAGAAATGCAAAACCAAATCATGTCTTTACAACATATGCTCAAAATGGCTACCCTGTTGAGCAATGCATGCGTGAGCTCTTTTTACCATGTTTGAGGCCATTTTGTGGAGCACCTGTAAACTGATGCTGTTAATCGCTGTTGTAATGCTCCTCTTGCTGTCATCCAGTGTGTGCAGATTATTTTTATAGACAATTCCTCTTGAGGTACCCCCAAAGGAAAAAATCTGCATGTGACAAATCAGGTGAACGTGGGGGCCACAATCCTTTCAAAATGAGACAGTCACTAAAAACTCGCACAAGAACTGCATGGTTTCATTAGATGCGTGACATGTGGCACTGTCATGCTGCAACCAACACTCATGTTCATCAACCTCAAGAAGCGCAATAAACTGTGTAATGATGTCTTGGTACACCGGACTGTTCACTGTTGTTTCGAAGAAAATTGGGCTCACTATTCAACGTGATACAGCACACCACACTCAAATTCTCTGACAGTGCAAGGGCTTTTCATGTAACATGTGGATTTTCAGATGACCAAATCCTATTGTTTTGACTGTTCACATAGCCACTAAGGTGAAACCACGCTTCGTCAGTGAAGAATACCCAATCAGACTCTTCAATTCCATGAAAACTCGTTCTTGGGAAAAGACATGTCTGTCATGCAATAAACAAAGCTCCACTGCAGACGTCGTATGACCAATACACGACAGATAGCATTTCTACTCTTTGTTAATACTCCTACAGTACCATCTAGCCATACATCTGCAATACAATTATTACAACTTTCAGTTTGATGTGCACGACTTTTCGATCTCCCTGTAGTATTAAGTAATCCCCCAGATATTAACCATGTCAATTCAATGTTCATTAAAGACCTCCATTATCATATTTAATCATCATCAGTTTAGGCAGCATAGCTCACTTTTTATCTCCATAACAGAATGTATATGTTGCCACATTTGTCCAGAATCCATCTAAATAATCATTTGAATGATAAATGGCATCATTATTTATTACACAGGATTAACAAAGAGTGACAGTAGGCCAAATAAAATTAATTGCCCCTTTTCACTTCCCTTCATATGATGAGCACTGAAAAATGAATACAGAATTTTAGTTGGAAAACCTGAAGGTAAGAGACCTTGGAGCACCCAGTCATGGGTGGAATAATACTGAAATGAATCTTACAGAATAGGATATAAAGGGGTATTTATTTAGCCAGGTTCAGAACACTGTCAGTTTAAAACATTTCCCTACAAATTTGCTCTTACATTGTTTGGTTACATTTTGAACAATTAGTTCAAATCTCTAACGTAGAGAATTAAAAATTAAAAAATAATACACTTCTTTGAAATTATGCTGTATTCTATTTCCTTCTCCAGGCTCATAAACTGCCAGAGTGCCAATGCATAAGATATTTCTCATGAATCAGGTATCATCTTAAGCTAAAAGTATGCAAAAATTAAATTAAAATTTCATCAGATTTTGAGGACAGAACTTTGTGTGAATATGCACATCTGACAAAAGCGAACGTGGGAAAAAGCAAGACATAGGGTCCATGAAAAGCTGATGATTCCCTTTGTCAACCATGATCCTCATCAGTTTATTTTAAGTCAGCTGTCCTTCGGATGTGTGGAACGTAAAACTGTAATGGTCATCTGTAAATTATTCACTGTGCATCTTTATCATTTTAAAGGTGGGATGCTAAGAAACGCCTCACCCCTGAAGACGCTTTGCACCATGAATGGCTTCAATCATCTTCCTCAACACAGCAGCAAGAGCTGAGGCGGTCTCCATCAGAAGTGGCCAGTAGTCACCAGCAACCACAGCAGCAGCCTCGGCGAGTACCTGAAGGAGAGTCCTCAGCTGCAACCCAGCAGCAATACTCACTTTATCGGCTGTACAGAGGCAAGAAGTGTGCATCCAAACTACTCTCTGCAAATGATACCCATCAAACAGAGTCAGGTGAAGGTGCTTCTACCAATGGGACTGCCAGGGCCAAGTTAAATGAAGTTGGAAGCAGTCGTACGAATGCAGCTCTTGGTGAATTGTTAGCCACACTTGACCCCAACCTTGATGATTCAGGGACGTTCCTACCTCCAATTCTGTGAATCAAGAGAACGACCTAGTCTGGTCTACTACTGTGTACTCAGAACATGGCCTAATTTGGTCATCTCCATACAACGGTAAGAGTGAACCAATTTTTTGGCCAATAAAAGCTACTGTAAACCAAAAGTGTGTCCTAGCCCAGTCAATTGTGATACAAGACTCTAGCCAGTGTGTTGGTATAAACTTTATTTTTGTGCCTCCTACTTTTTTAAGTTCATGGTATGATTTTAACCTTATCTTGTGTGATACTCATTGAGTCTTTCATAAGGCCAATATATTAGTATTTTATTATACCTTTTGTAACTCTATAATCTGTAACAAGATCATGACCTAACTTAGCCTAATAACATATGGAGCAATGCAAATACAGTGCTTTGCTTCTTATATTTTTCTCTCGTCCAGGAGACAAGCCTGACCTCGAATATTAAGTTACTCATTTTGGTGCATTTCATCAGTGTCTCCATACTTCCAGTCATATATTCATAACAGATCAGTACTTAAGTATATCTCATTTTTGTAGGTGTTTTTTGACTGAATACTCAGAACTTGAGAAATTATGATTGTATCTGTACAAACATATGATACTCAAGTTTAAAGGCCTATATAATTATGTATATCACCATTATTAACCTTCCTGGACCAATAACGCAGCACATGATACTGTCTCAAGTGTCACCATGGATAATAAAATGAAACCAGTTTGATCTATGTCGTACATAAAATGACTAATCAATGTGTGTTAAACTGATTGAAGTGAAACAATACAATTAAATTTTGCTTTTTGCATCCAGAGAAATGAACATGTCTTCAATCAGAATATAGCTACATCTGTGTATATTCTGGTACCAATTCATTCTGATGTTTATTTTCTTCCCTTAGTGCAGTATAGTCCACAATGTACAACTATGGTCTGGTTCCAAATATGACAGGAAAAATAGACAGAATTATACACTTTAGAAAGATTCACGCTCTGTTTTAGGACCGTTTCCTAACAATTTTACTCCACATTATGACATTATTAATATTCAACCAGAAAATCTAGTAAACCACCAAGGAGATTGAGTGCACAAAAAGTGTAGAAAACTGACGTGCAATTCCTTTTGTGACATCTATGAGAAAGAATATGTAAATAATTTCAATGATATTCAGGAAAGTGAAATAAGGTACATTAATATGGCAAAACCTACAACGAGCTAGTGTCATCAGTTATCATCATCTTCATTAATTACTGAAACACAGTCATCTAGACAATCACTTTCAGAGATATTTCATAGAAATTTAATCAAGCATTAGAAGTGTCAAACTATAGTTTCAGTGAAACAAAAGTCAGATTTTTAATTTCTGTGTAACTTTTTGTATCTTTAATGTCATCATCAACAAATGCTGGTGCAGAGGCATGGAAACCATATTGAGTTTCTTCTCCATAGTTATAATCAACAGGTTATTAAACAATCCTTACTGAAGCTACAGACATGATGGTATCTTTATCAGATATATAAAATTATCCACAAACTTCATTTGCCAAATCTGGAAGTTGTTCATGCTTGTAGTTCAAATCATAGAAGAGTTTAGAGGTGTTTTTTTATTGCTGTCATATTTTTCATGACATAATGAATGCCAAATTTTGTGTCAATTTTTCTCAGTTCTGTATATGGGTATATATATAAACAACAGAATGTTGCAACCTCAAAAGGTCTCTCTAAATCCTATACCATAATGACATGTTTAATATTATCAGCAGTTAGTGACTTTTGATTCTAGTAGATATTGTTAATCTAGTCATCTGATAATTAAATAATTTCAAATGTACTGAATTCTATGTGTTTCATGTTATTTATCTTATTATGAATTTGCATTTTCAATTACTGTGGAGATGATATATGTAATAAATGGCAAAACTTACATGTTGCTATCAACTTAGATACTGAACTAATGTGTTCAGATTTAAATGCCTGCAATGAAACCTGATATGTGGAGGATGAATCCAATATGGTATCTGTGGGACATCATTATAAGACATTATGCCACATATCCTTTAGTACATTAACTTTTTCTTGCTAGTGACTCTGAAGAATGTGGTGAAACTTGAGAGTATTGAGACATAATTATCCTCCAGATAGATAACCACTACTCTGTTTTAGCTACATGTTATGTAAGTTTACCAATAGTCTGTGTTTTTCCTACCTGCCAAATGACATGGATGGATTTGTGACAATATTACCAGCAAAATAACTCACATTATAATCCAACAAATACTTAATGAGACTCTGGAATGAATGTAACATTGCACGAATGTTTAATAACTGGTAAATGAATTACTGAATTTTCTTATTCTTTTACCTTTTTTGTCATCTAGGCACTGTTTTTACCATCCTGGCCAGGATGTGAACCTGGGACCATATAATCTAGCTGAGTCTCAATTACATCAACTAAGATATTTATGGCAGGCCACATTATATATCTTATGTCTTATAACTTTGAATTAAATAAAAAAGAAAGTGAAATTTACTATGTAAATAAATAAAACCTTAAGTGGAAATCTATTCATAGTGATTTTTCTTTAGTTTTACCTACTTATACCCAGATGGCAAGGAGAAAACATTTATTAGCAGACAAAGTCCAGTCAACTTGTTTCCAAATGTTCACTCTACAAGGATAGCTAAATATGTGTGCATAAAGTTGCAGCTCTAGTACTAACTGGGTTCCGACCGTCTTCCACACACTAGTGGTTGAAATCTCCCAAGCTCATGATTCATTCCCTTTCAACACAATAAAAGTTTCCCATGAAATAAATATCATACAGTTAACAACTCAATGTCAGAAAACATAAAATTTACTTCTGCATGTCCATGGCTTCTTCCCTAAGACTTGTAACTTGATATTTTAAGATTTAATTTACTTCCAAGAAGCATGGAAAATTTCACTTGCCTATCAAAATTTTCAAATGGCATATGAACTTGTAACTGACAAACAGCCTGAGAAACTATTATATTTCCATGCAAGTGCTACTCTCTCTTCATAAACCAGAGCAGCAATTGCATGTTCTGACTGTTAAAGTGTGTATTCAACATAGTAGGGGACAAAATGTTTATCCCTGCCATATTATCTGCATCCATCTGCCACTTAAAACAAACTGAAAACAGTATTATGGGCCAACCTCTCTTCCACCTTTCTCCCTCCAATAACCAAAGCAAAGCTCCCACCACCATCACCCTCTTGCTCCCACTTGTCAGTGCTGCTCTACAAAGATGCTATATATACACTACATATATGAAGTAACTGTTGAATTTGCAATAAACAGGAAGTTTATGGAGAGGGAACAATGAATCGTTAAGCATTTTCAAAATGGTAAGGAAGCTGTTGCAGACAGTGTCAAATTTGGTCATCCAACAGCTTAAAAATTGACTGCAATATTGAGAAATAATCACTGACTGTTCGGGAAGCAGCACAACTGACAATGAATAAAGAAACTGTAATATTAATTTTGACCAAGAAACAAAAATTCCAAAGTCTCCAAGACTGAACAAAAAAAAACATGAAGGTCCAGAATCTAATACATTCTGATTTGTTTTCTTAGCATCAAAGGAACTATCCATTATGAATTTGTTCCTCTACAACAATGGTACCCATCTACCAAACTATGTGGTGTGAAATCCAAGAAGATACTGTGTAATCTTCAGTTTTTAAAGATCTTAAAACAGAAGATTTGTTGAAAAAGACGAAACATTCGGCCACAAAAGGGAATTGTGACAGTATACCTACCAGCACAGCACTTTTTGTTAAGTGATACAAAACCAAGAAAAACACTGCACTTTTTTTTAGTTTATTATTTTAGGGTGTTATCAGTATCGACACTACACAGCCTTGATTAATGGATATGGAGCAACTGGTGAGATGAGAACTGCCAGGAGAACCAAAGTACTCGGGGAAAACCTACCCCAGTGCAACTTTGTCCACCACAAATCCCACATGACCTTACACTGGATCAAATCTGGGCCACCACAGTGAGGAGCCAGTTACTATCCACCTGACCTATGGTGCAGTCTCAAATGCCATGTTGAAATATCCATCATCCACTATTCAAGCTTTCAGCCACCATGTACCATTAGTCTCAGGAGAATCTGTTTGAAAGGCTCTCATTTTTTAATAATCTGAAGATATTCAGTATGATGTCAACATATTCTTGAAAGAACTTCAAAAAATTATTTCCTGCAATTTTTTTTCAAGCTAGGTTACTAAAAGGCAATAATATATTTTTGTTACAAATCAGTCTCTTTATTTACTTATCTGACTTCATATTTACATGTATTATTTTATTGCCAAATCCACATAACTTATGGCAAAGGTTTCTGTCAGCTGTAATAAATAATACAGGTAAGTAAGTAAAGGCAGCTTAAAGATAACAACACAGTGCTTAATATAAAATCAAAATACAGGGATAGCCTAAAAGAAATAGACATATTCAAAGTTTTACAGAAAGAAGAGTTTTAATAGCATGGCTGAGATACTTACATTGTTTGAAAAGTATGCCCTGAAGTTTACATGGGTACACCTTTTTACAGGATACAGCACAAAAAACGCTCACTTTAGGTGAATCCCTCCACTACAGCTCTCTGGTTTTCAGTTCCCCATATACGAATGTTGTTCACCATACCACTAATGTGGAATGTTGATTCATCACCAAAAACTAGCCGGTTAAAGAAATAATTACTTCCTTCATTCTGTTGCTGCATGTCCATACAGAACGAGTGACAGAGGGTTTTGTCATTTTCAGTGAGGTTCTGCAATAATTGCAACCAGTAAGGGAAAATTCGTAAACATTTATGCAAGATATTCCACACAGTCTTTTGTGGAACTTGAAGTTCTAAACTTGCACGTGTTGTAGACTTTTTAGAGCTGCGCGTGTTAAGTTTCACGAACACGAGTTATTTAAACTGTCTATTTCTTTTAGGCTAATCCTGTACTTTAACTTATGTTTATTTGAAATAAAATAGCCAGTCCCCAGGCCAAGATTCAAACCAATGACCTGCAAATATAAAACAAGTGCTAACCATCTGAGAGTCATGTATATTAGATGTTTTATGTGTAAGAACATACTGTTATATTACCTCTGCATTAAGTGCCTCCTATGTAAAAATACATAAAATCTGTGTGTGTATCCAGGTCCCAGTAGTAACGAAACAAAACCCGCATATGTGGGGAAACTTATATGCTCTGTGTACTGAACTTTGCATTTTTCAAAACAAAAGCACTGAATATGTGATAGCATTTCACTGATGAATTAAGCCAATATATGTTCAGTTTTATACACAGAATCTACATTCATACTTTGATGCAAGTTACTTTTTTCAATTACTTCCTTCAAACATTTTAGTAACTAAAAGGCATATTTTATTCCTTATACAAAAAAGTATCCTGGAATTTTCTTTTCATGAATTTCTATACATCAATTTCAATTGCAAATGCAACCATTTCTACTACCTACATAATATGGCCCATATACATATCATAATTTGAATGACTACTATTTAACTTTTCTCTTTAACATTTCATATTACATTCCTGTATCATTACAAATACTATAAAAATAACTTAAAAGAAAATAAACATAAAACATAATACACTGAAAGCAATTTAATGTAAGTTGAATGATTCAGAGTGCTGTTTGTGAAAATATATCCAATCAGTCAATACAAATTTTCGAAAAATGAGCACTATTTGTATAGAAATACCTGCATAGAATGGTGTATGAAGAAGAAAGCCATTATGCAATTCTTCTTAGTTGTGCAATATTAAGTGGTTTCAATCTGCTATCACTTATAAGACCAAGATACTACACAGGTAATGGCACTTCCTACAAACCACTGCTGTCTATTACTTGTTACATCAGACTCACACCCTCCTCTTTCTAGATCAGCATGTCATGTAATTAACACCGATATTTTGATTTACACATAATTTCAATACTGAAATTACATAGCTACACAATGAATAACTATACCTAAGATGTACAACACATATTAAAATATGCATAGTTATTGGGGTGAAAATTTATAGTCACACAGAAATCACACTTATATGAGAAAACTACACGATGTAATGTCCCACAATTGTGGTTTTTCAACAAATACTACAGTTTACAGGTCATAATGTAAGTAAATACCAGTCAGTTAGAGGGATCCACCCAATTCAGTCAGTTTTGAGCTCAGTTCTCTGCCAAATGTCCTGAATTTCTGGCACAATCACCCTTACAACAGTTTATAACATTATTTAGCAAAGATCAGGCTATTCAGGTTAACCAAAAATGTATCCATTCCTACAGAGGGTTGACCAGAAGTGACAGTATGAAAAATGTGAAGACATATTATGCACTCTACAAATTATATGTGAAATATGAGAAAAAGCTCAATTCAGCTCAGATATCAGAATGCAGATGAATGAATTTTACATTCATTATAAAAGCTTCTGGTATCTATACACTGTTTTCCAGTCATGCCCTGTGACTGCAAGAGCTAAAATAGTTGGTCACTCCCAATACAGATTATTTATAATTATAATCTTTGTTACTGATAAATCTCATTTTATCTAAGGAAAGGAAGCAAACCATTGAAACAGAATGAAAGACATGGATAATGTGAGAATGTACAAACAAATATAGAGAGCTGCAATTCCAACGGAGCTAGACATAACCCTTTATCTGTTACATCTGCAACAGTATTAGCAGAACATGTCAGCCAAGTAACTTTCCTAGGAAGTAGCAAGGGATAAAGCTAGCCATACAACAGCAGCCTCAAGGGCTGATGGGCAGCATGGACACAGCTGGTTTGAGCACACATCTGATTACCACAAATTTGGAAATACTTTTATGAAGCAGTAATGTTTCCTTCAATACGAATTTATTACTTTTCTACTAATATTTGTACCCTGCTATCCAACTAGGTAATTAAAGGATCACAAACACTGTGTTACAAACACACCAGTTCAGCGGGTACCTTAAAAAGTTAGGATTAAAATTTAAAACCTTAATTTGAAGCATAAAAATATATTTATGCCATATACAAGTACTTCAATTAATCTCTAGGCTCAGACTTCAATTTCAGTTTGTTAAATATATATAATTTGAGAAATGCTTTACAGTGAGAGTAGGGGGGATTCCTATGAAATTAACTAGAGGTGTCAAAATAAAGGCATCCAAAATAAAATAATTATATCTCAGAAAGCATTCATTATACACATTTATGGGGTACGCAACTACAAAGGGAACTATTGAAGTTTTTTTCTGCGCATATAACTTTCTCAGTAAAGTTCAACGTGAGCTTCCTTGATTGCACAACAAGTATCCAGATGATATTTGACCTCGTTCCACGTTGCTTGAAGCATGTTTGGTGTTACCGTAGCCACAGCGTCCTTTATGCAGTCTTTCAAGTGTTGAATGTCATCGATCTTAACCTGGTAGACAATGTTCTTCACATAACCCCACAAGAAAAAATCCACTGGGGTTAAACCTGGTGACCTAGGAAGCCAAGCAACTGATCCACCTCTGCCGATCCATCTGCCGGCCATCTCTCTGTTCAGGCGATTCCTAACATGGTGGTAGAAATGTGGCGGCCCATGTGCGTAAGCAGGATATAAAAAAACTTTCAGAGTTTTCCTTTCAGATGATATAAACCGGAGAAGTGTATGAAAATTAGTTTCCGAGACAGAAATTTGTTATTTTGGATACCTTTCATCTGGACACCCTATATAAAGTGGAATGAACTGATTCAGTAAAATAAAATACAAACTCCACCAGTAGATAAATACATAATGCATATAATCTAAATATCACATTAAAGTATATCAACTGGAAATCAATTATGAAGCATGAAACAACTTTTAAAGAATTAAAATGATATGTGAAACTGATTGAACTTTATAAATTTAAATTATTACTCCTCTGAGTACCGAGAATGTCTGTATATACTCACTCCTGTGTGATGAGATCTAGAAAGTTTAAAACAATCACACAAAATTAATATATTAATTTATTAATACTGTATCTAAATGTGACAATCAAAATACTTAGAGAAGTCCTCTAAATGTAGTTCAAACACAAGGCATGAGAATGATTTTGCTACTGTGACATGGATACATGCCAACATCTTCTCGTTAACAAATACCCATCCTTTCATTGCAGAATCATACAAACAACTCTGAATGCCTGCGAAAATATGGCAAAACACGTACAGTGAAATCCCCATTTAAGTTTTATTTTGGGAATAGTAGATTTTAATACTAAACTGAAGGAAAACTTAAATGGAGGTAATTAAACACTGAAATTATTGACTTGAAATCTTTGAAACCAAATGTCGAAAGAGCTGAAATCTTAAATCAAGCAATATTATATAAGGGTTATAACAGTACACTGTTACTGGCCACACTGACATCATGCAAGATGCCCTACAATGGCCTTCCCACATATAACAGATTCAACACTACCAGCAAAATGTGGTGCAGTATACATTTTGCAACATAATGTGACATGCTGCCTAAAAGCCAGACTATGGAGCATATTTCAGCATTCATTGCTGGTCAATGAATAACATTTACTAGAGAGCGGAATGGAATGCAGCACTGGAATTCTAACAGTGAGTTTAAATGGTAACAACAAATTGTTTGAAAAGTTGTATGACAGTGGGAAAACCAAATTGTTGAGAAAGGGGTTCCATAAGCAGTCTGCAAAAGGCCTATTTAAAGGGGTTGAATGTACCAGATAAGACAGTGGAGTTCTAGCAGTCACCAAGAAGAGTTCAAATCTAGCAGTTGAATTTGTATTGAGTTTGCATTCGACTCTAGCAGGAAGAGTTCTTTGACAAGGGACCAAGACACTTGGCCGAGGATAGCAGTGCAAGTAATTATAACAGTGAAGAAGAAACATCCGCAGATGTTATAAGTGATCACAATTGTACTCGCTTGTGTAAAAGTGAGCATTCAATAAACATATTTGCCAAATCCAAGACCTGCATGAACTTATTTGTCGCGTTACATAGGCAACATGTGACAATAAATTATGGGTATGAGAGCATTCTATTATGTATGTGAATTACAGTGTAAGTTTGTTGTAACAAGAATTCGTAATACAACAAAAAATTATGCTAAGACGAAGACTCGTTACAGCAGTTTAGAACAACAAAATGTATATATCAATCTAAAAACGTAACAGCAAACGTGTGAAGTAATTTTATTGCAACAGATGAAAGTGTGAGAGTTTAGAAAGGAATTATTCTGTAATATATAAACTATGTGTAAATTATAAAATTTGAAGTTAATACACAAAAGGAAATATGAGTATTCAATAACAGTGGACATTCGTGCTTCGAGTTCCGTAAACACATTGTGGAGAACACTGTCTGTACACTACTACTGCAACCACTGAACAAACAAGGCAGCAGTCTGGTCTAGTTATGAACTGCACTATGTTTACAAATGAACTCGCAAGTAACCTTAAACATCCTAGTCTATTCTCCATTTGTGCACAATTCCCTAAAAATTGTATTATTCCTAAAACAAAGATCCTCCATAAGCACATCTTCTCATTGCACATGCTATTACCAGATGAGCTTACCTACTACCGTTCCTGTGAGAAATGAGACCGTCGCCACAAAGTTCTACTCCTTTGCAAGTAGGAGTAATAAGAGATTGACAGACATTAATTAAAAGCGAAAGCATCAAAATCTGTATTTATATGATGACTTCCTATGGGATCTGAAGCATACGATAAAGACCATAATAATTACAATGAACTTCCACTGTATGTGATTTCTGGTAATCATTCCTGCTGTGTACTTTTGACAGTTATCAAGGGGTCATCATCATTTGGAAGCAATACGCCGTGAAAAGACTTGACAGAAAAGTACTCTGAGAAGGGCAAGAGAACTGAAATTTGAAAGTAATCTGGGGGATGAACCAGAATTAGATGGTTCAGACAGGTGTTAGAACAAAACAAGACAAGGGGCAAAGGTGAAAACTGAAAGGTTGTGGAAAGAAAGTGGAGAGTGCAAATTCTGCATCAATTAACTTGCACAAAAAGGAATCAATGCAAGGGGATCAAGAAGATATATCTTCATTAATCATACAGGAATTTGTCCTTATTCAAATACTAGAATTTTCCTATGAGAAACTAAAATTGAAACCTGAGCCCCAGAATTATGATAGACTTAAAAATGCCACTTCTAGTGAGGTTTCAAACGAGCTGTGCCCATCACAGTACTAATGCAGATGTACAACAGTGCACTGAAATTTCAAATTATAATTGCTACTTCTAGAACACATGATCCAACAGTAATAAATTAACATGACACAACACATAAACACACATGCTACTGCTGCATCATCTTGCTATCTTCGTCTTTCACCTTTCTGTGTCTTACGTTTCTCCTTCCTTTCTTGCTGCTGCTGTTTCTGTTTCTCCCTATGAGGAAAAAATGTCAAAATAACATGATCTTACATCATGCGAGAGTGAAAACTGCTATGCAGGATAAATACACGGTTTATATTTACTCTACAACTCTACAACAATTTTCATTGTTTCCAAACCAACACATGATAAGTATATTTTTATATCTTTAAAGGCATGTAAAACATAACATTATATACGAAGGGGGACCCAAAAATAACCGGAAACGACCTGTTGCGCGCGCATGCTTTGTAGTTACGAGTTGTGCTGCTAAGTGGTGTTAGCTGGGGGTCTCCCGCGACTGTTAGTGAGCTGGCGTCAGTCTGAGTTAAGTGGTTTGTCTGTGGTGCTCTGTTGTGTGCGTTCCTGTTTCAACCCTTTGGCGATTAGTGAGATGGCCGACCAGAAGGAACAAAGAGTGTGCGTGAAATTTTGCTTTCTGTTAGGGAAAACTGCACTTCACTCTTCAAGTCGCGGCAAACATTCACGCGGTTTTCTCTTTGGTCATCTCCGAGCAAGCGAGGAACAAATTTTGCAGACACCCGTCTCATGTGCAAACCTTCGGTTAAAATTCGCTGGACCGTGCTCCATGAGATGTTCATTTCCTCAGAAAGTTGGTCAATGGTCTTTCAACGATCTTCATCAATTGCATGTTTGATTTTGGCAATGTTTTCGTCATTTCTTCCTGTCGAAGGACGCCCGGGGCGTGGCATGTCTTCTGTTGACATGTTGCCAGATTTGAAACGGGAAAACCACTCGTAGACCTGTGATTTCCCCAAAGCATTATCATTAAAGGCTTGCCGAAGCATCCCAACAGTCTCGGCTGCAGTTTTCCCTAACAGAAAGCAAAATTTCACGCACACTCTTTGTTCCTTCTGGTCGGCCATCTCACTAATCGCCAAAGGGTTGAAACAGGAACGCACACAGCAGAGCACCACAGACAAACCACTTAACTCAGACTGATGCCAGCTCACTAACAGTCGCGGGAGACCCCCAGCTAACACCACCTAGCAGCACAACTCGTAACTACAAAGCATGCGCGCGCAACAGGTCGTTTCCGGTTATTTTTGGGTCCCCCTCGTATGGTGTACCATTTAAAATACAACCCTAAATACAAAAGTATACTCAAGCTTACAGTTAACATTAACTTAACAGGACATTCAGTTACTTGGTGGTTACTGCTTATTCATGGGAACCTACGTAACAGCTTTATAGCAAATGTTGAAAATGTCTATCACCTTGAAGAAAGCAGTCTTCTGGGCTTTGGCGCCGTGTATATGTGTATATCACCTTCTCAAAGACAAGCATCCACTTATGTATACGCTTTTTGTGTAACATTACAAGTGTCAGTGGGTCATTGCTAGTAACATCTTGTTCAGTAGCATGTGTTAACTTCTCCCACTTTCATGGGGTTTGTTTATGGGAACTTGCATAACAGCTTTCAAGCAGATGCTGATTGTGTTAACAGCCTTCTCTAAATCGTGCAATGACCTGTTTTAGTATGTTCTGTGCAATTCTATGAAGTTTTGGTGGGTCACTGCTCACAACAGTCTGTTCAGTAGCAAGTTTCAGTTCCTCCAGATTTCATGGGTTACTTGAGCCGATTCCTTGTGTAAAATCCCTATTCAGAGCAGTCGGATGATATGTAGTCTGGAGATGAGGGCAGCCATGCCAAACAAAGCAGACACAATAGAGCTCTTGCAGTAAAGCAGTTGTGTTCACAGTGTGGGCACTTACCTCATTCAGTTTGGTGTACCAGTCTTCTCAAAGATTTTGATGGAAACAACTTTAATATCTTTTCATTGAAGTGTCACTGAAGTACAACAGACAAACAGTGTCCTGCTACAACCTGTTAATGGTGTACTGGCACAATAACATACATGGCTGAACACAGCGCTATGAAGAGGTTCCCGTCAAATAAAGTCTTACATAAATATGGGCATAAGTCATGTCTGGTGCACAGCCCACAGCTGAGGCACTTCAGTGCTGAATCCCTGAATTCCAGTTTATACTCGTAAAAACATGACTACCATATTTCTTCTCACAACTAATGCTAATCAAACCACTTTATTATAGGACAGCTCAGTCAGTATAGTGCCTTGTATACAGGTTGGATGGCTAAGGAGTCAGGGTTTGATTCTCGGCAGGGCAAGAGATTTTACTCTTCTCCACAATGTCCAGACTGACTCTGGGGCACACCCAGCCTCCTACACAATGGGTATTGTGGGCTATTTCCCAAGGGGAGGGGAGAGGTAAAGTGTCAAGGGCATGAAGATGACTACTCATCTCCATTTAGTACTAAAGTTAAGAATGGTGGAGCTATACATCCACTCCCCCATGTGTCTTCATGGAATGCTGCTAAAGTAATAGCTTTACCTTCAGAGCGTCCCAAAATGTTACACCTTTTTCATGTATTTTTCCTTCATTTGTATCAGACAGAAAACAATAATAAAAACAAAAAATTTTGGCTCTTCTTATCTGAAATGTTCGAAATTTCCACCATTAAGAGACAAACATGACCTATATATAACACACCACAATGGATGTGCAAAGATTCATAATGTGGCACCATTATTCTGGAACATTCTGTACCTATTCTTAGCTAATTTAATGATGCTAAAAGCAAGGCTGTATCAACTGGATGAAATTAAAGTGCAGCGATTGTAAATAAGGTACTGGGGCAAAGTGGTTGTGATCTATTTCCAGGTACTATCCCAGAATTCACCTGGAATGAGTGAGGACAGTTACAAAAGCTCTATTGTCTCCAATCCTTTATATTGTAACATGATGGCTGGAAAGCAAAAATAGTGAAATATGTAGATCCAGTCACTGCTAGGCAACAGCATGGTAAAGACACTTCAGTGGCAACAGATATGCACATAAAAATAGAACTGTTGGAAGTGGTGTTTTTTGTCTGGTCTGTGCCAATGTTACATAATGAAAACCTATGGATCAGGACAAGGTGTGTCCATGTGGAGGCATGGTCGAATACCTCCATGTCACCCTGCGAGTCGTAGGAGGCAACGAAAAGGGAAGTCTCAAATTTGAGACAGTAATATGTGGTTGCGAGTGCCAAGGGACTCGGACCTGAGAAAGACTATGCTGGCAAGGACCAGCAGTATATACAAAAGACAGACCCATCGTCTCAGCAGAGAGGGCGCCCAACAAAAAACAAGACCGTAACTGACAAACAGTAATAAATATCTGGTCATGAGCCCCAGATGGGGCTTGACACCAAGACTTACTGAGTGACTGACTGTCAGTCACAACATGACTTTGACTTTGACAGGACAAGGCGAAGCCAGACATAGAAAATACAAGAGACTTCAACTTGCCAGCAGTCAAGCTTAAGACCATTCAAGTGACTAAACTTCTGTTGTAGCATAGGATAAATAAGGTAGACATGATCTACTTTGTAAAGCCTGGACTGACAGAAGACTTGTATATAGTGCACAAGGAAGAACTTTCATTAACATGCTATATAAAATTTTAACAAGGATCCTAAAAAAGACAGTAGATCCATATATAGAAAAAATAATAGGGGAATAGCAATCAGGATTTTAACCCAATAGGTCAACAATAGACAATTTATTTACCCTGAAACAAATAACAGAGAAATGCTGCGAATTTAATATAGATATTTACCTATGATTCACAGATTTTAAACAAGCATATGATACAATAATAAGGAAGAAATTAAGGATGATTATGTCCACTTTTTGTATCCCAACAAAACTAAGTAGAATAATTAACTTAACCATGACAGAAACAATCAATCAAGTTAAAATGCAGAACCAGTTAACAGAACACTTTAAGACAAATCAAGGATTAAAACATGGTGATAGTTTGGCACCATCACTATTCAATTTGGTATTGGAATATATAGTGAGGAAATGTAATTTAGACACAAGGAACACAATAGCGTATAAACAAACGCAAATAATGGCGCACGCTGATGATATTATTATAGCATCAAGATCCCTAAGAGCAATGAAGGAGACATATAAAGAAATAAAAACCACAGCAAAAACAACTGGCTTAGAGGTGAATGTAAATAAAACTAAAATGCTGATACACTCCAGAAGGAATCCAAGGCAAACTGGAGAAATTAACATGGAAGGGGACAGGACAGAAATAGTTGAAGACTTCATATATTTAGGATCGAAATTCCATAAAGATGGAGAGGAAAATCATGAAATAACACAAAGAATAAAACTAGCGAATAATGCATATTTCTCGTTACTATCAGTTTTTAGATCAAAGGATATATACCGAGCGATTAAAACAAAAATATATAAAACAATGATAAGACCGGTGCTTTATTATGGATGTGAGGGTTGAACGCTAAACAAGAAAGAGGAATCAGTCATCAATTCTTTCAAGAGGAAAATCCTAAGACGAATTTATGGACCAATAAAAGAGAATGGGATATGGAAAATAAGATATAATAAAGAGTTATACAAATTATATAAGGAGCCACAGATCTCAGTGACGATAAAGTTTAAAAGATTGCAATGGGCTGGGCATGTACAGAGAATGGATAAGGAGCGTATCCCAAAGAAAATATTATACCGACAATAGGTGGTAGGAGACGTGCGGGGAAACCAAGAACTAGATGGATTGATGCGGTGGAAGAAGATGCAAAGAAGTTAATGGGCGTAAGGAATTGGAAGAGAGCAGCACAGGATAGAGAGGAATGGAGGGGCTTGATAAGGGAGGCCAAGGCCCGACATCGAGCTGTTGCGCCATAGAAGAAGAAGAAGATGTGCAATATGTACAATTGACAAATGCGAAGCCTATTCATAAGAGACAGACCCACCCTCTAATCAGAGAGGATGTTACATAAGAACTATGACTGCAACAGTTCAGTTGCAAAAAAATCTCTGGTCATGATCCTCAAGGGGCTTGGCGCCAAGACAAACTGATTGGCAGTAAACCACCAGTTGTAAAGTAACACTGACACCTACTGACAGAGTTGTGAGACAGTTGCCAGCTGGTAAGAACATGAGCATGGAAGTAGAGAAATATATATTGTTGGGAGCTGCTACCTAGGAATGACCACTGAAGACTATAATAGACTGAAAAGGCTTTGTGTTTGCACTAGTGATTGGTAGTGTGTGTCGATTAGTGAAAGTGATGCAATTATTTGAAGTTACGAGATATAAGCCTTCAATAAGTACAATTACCAACCCAAACCCAGTGTCTGGTCACTAACATGTGGCCAACTGGTATCAAAATTGGGACTGAATTGGTTGGATTCCTTGTAATTGAACCATTGTGATAGCTCACTAGAGTGGACATGAAAGATATGACAGCCATCATACGGGGACTACAGGCCAGTTAACAAATGGTAACAGCTGACACTTGAGGATGGATTTGGGGACCAGCATCTGGTCCCAGCATACTGCACCCACCTGGAAACACAGACCCAACTTATGGGTGGACCCTTGCAAGTTTGCCGCAACCGGCCCATTATGCATTTCCTGCACTACACAAGGACCATGTTTGCAAGGTCCAAGTCAAGGCATTTGGCAACAGGATAAGAGACCAAGACATAAAATAGCACCTACTTCTGGTAGGCAAAAAGACATTCAACAAGACCCTCTGGCAGACCCTTAAGCTGGAGGTCATTAAGCTAGTAGTCAGGTCGCCTATCAGGCTCTGGAAAATGAGTATCAGGACACTGTGGAGGAGCTGGCCCCCTTCCAAATGAAAGAAGAGACTACCAACAGCCTACATACCAGAGCTGTAGGAGCAATGGCTACTTTTGAAAGATCTGGCCCCAAGAACATGGAACCAGAAGCATAGGGGTCAGCATGATGTTGAGGTGACATTCATGAGGACTATCACTGACAACACAGACATGTCCTTCAGAAAAGAAGAAATGGTGATACACCTTCAGGTTACTCAAGACAAGAAGACTTAAGGAGAGAGCAATGTGATATGACTGCTGAAAAGCCAGAATGGTGAAATATTTAGATGCAGCACAGCAACAGATACACATGCAACAACAGAAGAAATGTTGGAAGCAGCGTCCTCTGTGCATTCCATGCCACGGTCATATAAGGAGAACTTACAGGCAAGTTAGTTCAGTCATGAGAGAGTCTTGAGACAGTCGCCAGCCAGTAAGAACATGAGTATGGAAGCAGAGGAGTATCTATTGTTGACAGTCACTATCAAGCAATGAACAGAGACAACTAAAACAGACTGAGAAGGCTTAGAGTTTGCAGTAGTGATCTGCAGAGTGTGTAAACTAGTGATAATTATATGTAGTTACAAGATACAAGCGTTCAACAAATACACCTAACAATCTAAGACCAACGTCTACTCACTCATCATCATCATCATCAGTAATCTGTCAAGACGACAGGTCCACAGTCTCTTTCAAAACAATTCCTCCACTTAATGTGATCTAGAGCTTTCTCCTTCAAATGACAGTATCCTCTTCTGTCCCCAAGGTCATCCAGCATCTTCTTACGTCTTCTTCCTCGTCTTCTTGTCACTTCTATCCGCCCATCTATCTTTCCTTCGATAGCTTCTTTTAGAAGGCAGTTTCTGCGTAAAACATGACCAATCCAATTAGCCTTCCGTTTTCTTATTTCATGTAGGATATTCCTCTGCTCACTGACTCTAATTAACACTTCTTCATTTCTCACATAATCGGTCCAACTGATCTTCTCCATTCTTCTCCAACACCACATTTCGAAACTTTCCAGATGTTTCTGATCTACTGCCCTAAGTGTCCATGTTTCAGCCCCATACAGAGCTATGCTCCAAATGTAGCATTTCACTAGTTTCTTCCTCAAATTTAAGTCCAATTTGCTGGTAAAAAGATTCTTCTTCTTGCTAAATGCAGCTTTTGCCATGGCAATCCTGGATTTAATTTCACAAGTACACCTTCCATCATCTGTTAACAAGCTACCCAAATATTTAAAACATTTCACATTCTCCACTTGTTTTTGGTCTATCTTTATTGTGACTGGGGTTGGTTGTCTCGAAATTTTCATTACTTTTGTTTTCTCCACATTCATTTCCATGCCATAGCACCTTCCAATTTCAATTAGTCTATCAATCATGCCCTGTAGCACAGTTTCTTCCTTAGCCATTAACACAAGGTCATCTGCATATTTCACAGTTTGAATAATTTGCCCTCCTACTTTGAAGTCACCGAGCCCATCCAGAGCTTCCTTGGTAAGGCATTCGCTGTACAAGTTGAACAGAATTGGTGATAAACAGCATCCTTGTCGAACTCCTCTTCCAATCTGCACACTTCCTGTCTCCCCCCTGTCCAGTCGTACTCTAACTTTCTGATCCATGTACAATTTGCTAATCAATCTTCTTTCATGCCAATCGATACCTGTTTCTTTCAGGATCTGCATTAATTTGGTCCAGTTTACCCGGTCAAATGCCTTCTGCCAGTCTATGAAGCAAACACACAGTTCTTCATCTATCTCCAAAGTTCGTTCCGCTATAATTCTCATCATCCCAATTGCATCCCTGGTTCCTTTTCCTCTTCTAAATCCAAACTGATCTTCTCCAAGTACATCCTCTATTTTCCTTTCAATTCTTCTTTTAAGTATCTTTGCTATTATCTTTGCTGTATGTGCAATAAGACTTATTGTGCGATGGTCGCTGCATTTTGTAGCTTTTGTCTTTTTCTTTAAGGCAATCATTGTAACTTCTGTAAAGTCCTTGGGCCACTCTCCACTTTCATATACGGTGTTCATTAGTTTTGTCAGTGTTTTCAAACCACCTTCTCCCAGTAACTTGAGCACATCTCCAGGTACATCATCATCTCCTGTAGCCTTTCCCTTCCTCATTTCCTTGATAGCTTTTTCCACCTCACTTTGTAAAATATATGGTCCTTTCTCGTCTGTATCTACTTCTTCTTCCGGTTCAACTTCTAAGGTTTCTGGCCGATTAGGTCGATCATATAGTTCTGAAATATAATTTTCCCAAATTTTCAGCACTTGCCTCTGATCTACTATTCTATTCCCCTGGGAGTCTTCGATGCCACTAATACTACTCACTACTCACTAATACAAAAATATTTTCAGTCAGCTTTGGTGCAAGAAATCTGAGAAATACTATTCCAGAAAATATATGTACCTACCTATCTTCCTTATCTTTCTCTTTCTTCTTCTGGCTTTCTAATTTAGCTTTCTCTCTCTTTTCCTTTTCAGCTTGTTGGACTACAGCTGCATTTGTATTCTTGACCAAACCATTCTCTTTGCCTTCATTTGGACGATCTGATTCATCATCATCATCTTGATCAGACATCTGAAATGAAGGGCATGTTTCACACACACACTGAACACAGTGCATCTACTGCTCTCATAGATTGCATTCTGCCTATGTCAGTTTAACATGATTTAGATTAATAATAGCATATACCTCACTTGGATCATTTTATTATACACTACATGTTCTGAGAAAGCTGCTTTCAGGTGGGTGGTCAGGAAATGGATAGCATGGTTTATAGCTATATTACATTAGCTAAGATGATTTTATCCAGTGTTTGATCCATCACTAAACTTACAATGCATTGAATGTACTATGCCATTCATTGCCAAAGGCCAGCAATTAAAATTAAAAATTAAAACAGAGAAAAATGTTAAATGGTTGAAGGTTGATGTAGCAAATTACTGGGACTAGTGTTATTTACGCATGTTTCTTGTTCATCTGTGTATAAAAATTAAAAGTACGTGGTGCAATCCAAAAGTTCCCAAAATATATTAATAAAAACTATTACATCTTACCTAGATCTTATTCTGCACCATCACCTTCAAAGTAGTCCCCTTGGGAGCGCATACACCGATCCCAGCGCTTCTGCCACTTTTCAAATGCATCCTAGAAGTCTTTCTTTGTTAGGGTGTTTAGTACCGTCTGCGTTTCCACTTGAATTTCCTCAACTGTACCAAATCTTCACCCCTTCAACTTGATTTTCATTTTGGGGAAGAGAAAGAAGTCACATGGAGCTAAGTCTGGCAAGTATGGTGGGTGGGGAACAACTGCCATCTTGTTTTAGCCAAAAATTCCTGCACGATGTAAGCCATATGCGGTCATGTGTTGTCATGGTGGAGTACCCAGTCGTTCATGCACCACTTCTCTGGACGTTTTCTCCTCATGTCCTCCCTCAAACACCTTAGAACATCACAATAGAACTCTTTATTGACTGTCTGACCAGGAGGGACGAACTCCTTATGAACAATCCCGTCAATATCAAAAACAGAGATCCACATGGACTTAATGTTGCGCTTGACTTGTTGAGCGTTTTTTGGCCAAGGTGAAGAAGGGCTCTTCGATTGTGATGATTGCTGCTTGCTTTCAGGGTCGTAGCCATAAACCCAACTTTCGTCACCAGTGACAACCTTCAAAAGAAAGTGTGGATCCTCTTGAAGCTGTTGTTGAAGTTCCCTGCAGACTTCCAAGCGATGCTGCTGCTGTTCATTTTGCAGCAGTCGTGGCACAAACTTCGCTGCAATCCTCCTCATGTTCAGTTCCTCTGACAAAATTCGTTCACATGTACCACAACTTAGTCCCAAGGTGTTAAAGAGGTCTTGGATGGTCAGTCTACGATCTTGCAGACTTTTGCAACATTTTCTGGTGTTTTGCCCGTTGACGGCCGTCCCGAACGATCGTCATCATCAGTCCATGTTCAGCCATTTTTAAAACGCTTATACCAGTTGTAAGTTTGTGTCTGGCCTAAACTGTTTACACTAAAAGCTTGCTTCAACATTCGGTGCGTTTCTGCAGTGGTTTTCCCAAGTTTGAAACAAAACTTTATACAGACACGCTGCTCTCTCAGGTCAGCCATCGCAAAACCGCAGACTCACGGAAACACAACAATGGAAATATGTTCACCAACAATAAACCCAACCACTCAACTTGACATCGCTTGCCACACTGATTCAAGAAGGATATGTGAGGAGACACTTAGCCGTATTTCGATGTGCTCATAACCATTCGCTCACAAAATTCAAATTTCGGTAACTTTTGGATTGCCCCACGTATAAACACAGATTTTTGTAGGTGGTTAGAATTTTTTAAAATGTTTTACAATACAAAGGCAGTGTTGGTTCAGGATATTCATGGCACTACACTGAAGCTTTTCAACTTTTGATGTGGTTTGGGAATTCGTGCATTATCAAATTACTTTTCTTGTTGACTACTGATAGCAATACTTCCAATGGGTAGTACTTTTTTGTAACTGAACTCTTGCTGAATTAATTTGTTAGCACAGAGGTGCCTTTTTCATAGATGCATGTTGAAAAATGCTTGCCCTCTCTAGATTGGTCTCAACTATATGCAAGGAGGACGCACCGTAAATCTAGTGATGGATCCAGCATTAGACACAGTCAACTGATCTCCTGCAGGATACCTACAAACCTCTGAATCAGTATAGTGACCATACACCCAAAGATCATTCTCTTGAACCAAAACATTTAATGGATAGTAATAAACACCAATGAGGTATAATGTATGAGGTATGTGGTATTACAAATTGTCTGTGTGATGGCCATATATCTGTAAATCTTACTTACCACTATCCAACCATACGGTAGCTAACTGAATATTCTTCGATCTGAGATCAGGAATCCTGAAAATGTTCTTGTAATGTGTACGTTTCTTTTTATGACTTAATACACCTTGAAGGAAACCAAACTGAAAATGCTCAACACTGTTGTTAAAAAATATTAAATTTATATATTGCAAACTACAACTTTATGCTACTTTATACTGACAATTCTGTATGCCATCATCAGAGTTGCTTCAGCCTAAAATCAGCTATAAGATGCCAAAAACATTCACCACATGACATAATGTATTCTTACTACGACATATTCAAATTGAGAGTCATATATCATTCAATTTAAGTTCTCTTTGAAACCAGCATTGTTAGTCAGGGTTGTCAAACTTGTGGCACTCAGGCCACATACAGCCCAACAGTTTGTTCTGTGTGGCTAGCGGAGTATCCTTCCCGAACCCAAAATACATGTTAACATTTTACTCTTCTTTACACAAGGCAGCTAGTCTTGTTGAACAAAACTTAATGAAAAGAGCTCACCATTATTATCATTCTTCTTAGTGGGGTGAGACTGAATCCGCTTGGTACTGCGACCACTACTGGCCTATTGTACATCCATAAATGATAGATGACGGCGACTGTGGGACAACTGATGAAGTGAAGATTGGCATGGGAAACCAAATTATTCAGAGAAAACCTGCACCAGTGCCACTCTGTCCACCACAAATCCCATATGACTAGACCCGGGCTCAAACCCAGGCTGTCGCAGTGAGAAGCTAGCAGCTAACTGCCTGAACTATGGCATGGCCCTAAAGAGTTTACTAAATATTCCATGTAATTGTTTAATGGAATTCACACAGCACCCAACAAATTTCAATGAGTATGGAATTAGTAAAATTCCATTATCATATGGGGGGCAAGCGGTAGCATAGCTGGTTTAGGCACTATGCTACTAGGTGCAATGTCGCAGGATCAAATACTGATGAGGTGGATTTTTCAATTTACCTAATCGTTGCAGCCGCACTATGGCCCTGGGGTCGACTCAGCCTCTAACAGAAATGAGTACCAGGAATATTCTTGGGGGTAAAGGATGGCCAGCGCGTAAGGCTGACAACCTTACTGCCATCTATAAACCGACTGTCTAGACAATGTGGAAACCTCAACATCTCACAACCCGATGGGCCTCCACGGCCTGTAACAGGGATACCTTTACCTTACTTTCACTTTACCATGTTCATACACTCACTACAGGACACATATTTGTACTGGCGTACTGAAAAATATATGTTCAAAACATGGCACCAGGTCAGCACCTAAGGTACAATGTAGTCCCTCATGGTTTAAAGTTGCACAGCCTAATCCAGTAGCCAAAATATTATCAAATTCAGCATACACCCACACTACAGAATCAGGAGTGTTCCTAAAGATGTGGCTGTACTGTATGTGAACCAAACTTTTCCATTGTATTTTATATTATAAGCGGAGATGCGTTCTTAAAGAAATTAAATTGGGCCCACAGTTGCAAGAGAATAACACTTTTTCACCCATTAGACACTGAAGAAAGAGTAATATCCAGCACAGTCTAAAATAAGAGGGGAATGTCATCCTAACCCTGCGTCATTAGCACATGCATAAGCTAGCCAGTGGCCAGCTACATACACTGCTCTTTCTTAGAAAAGAGTTTTGGCTGAATATGTTTTTGTTTTGCATTCTGCATTTTAAAAAATATAATATCCCACATTTTTGTAATGATGAATGTATGGTCAGTATCATGAATTTTTTGGTCATGTTTCATAATTTTTGTGGGGGCACATGGTAACGTAGCTGGTTGAGACACTATTCCACAAACCACAAAGTCACAGGTTGGAGTCCTGATAAGGTCACTGGATTTTTCAATTGACCTGATCCTTCCAGCCGCACTATGGCTCTGGGGCCGACTCAGCACTTAAGAGAAATGAATACCAGGATTCTTCCTGGGGTGTAAAGGGAAGACAGTGTGTAAGGCTGACAGCCTTACCACCATCTGTGAGCCAATTACCTAGAAAATGTGGGATCCTTGACCTCTCACACCCCTATGGGCCTCCACAGCCTGTTACAGGGATAGTTTTACCTTTACCTTTGTAATGTCTGTAGGGGTAAAAGTCCTTAACCTGAAAACCCATCTGCGTATCCAAATTTTCTTCGTGAATTGCTGGTTAAATGGGTTATAATTCATCAAATTCAAGTGATTATTACATAGCAAAACACATTAGTCTGTATTAGTTACTCCAGCACTGACATGATGGAACTGAGGAAATGAACAGAAGATTTGTACCAATGCGCAGAGTTGGGACTTGATCTATAAAACAGGAAGTAAGCCAGCAAGTCAAGAGTACTGTATTCTGCTGGACTTCATTATAAGTGAAAGACTAGACATACTTTTATTACAAAAAATTTATATTAAAGAACCAGAAAAATGCTTACCAGATTTTCTGGTATAGAACGTGGAAAAAATGGTAAATATATAATACTTTATTTAATTAGTATGTATCTGTATGTATCACATATTTATTTATGTTATAACTAAAACATACACCAAATAGAAGCATAAACAAATATGCATTCTTCAAAATACTACCACACTGCCATTACCATTACCAAATACTTGGAAGAGAAGTATTACAACACATGCGGAACACTATCGCTGAACATGGTACACACATGAAACTAGATAAGAGGTAAAGGTAAAGCTGTCCCTATAACAGGCTGTGATGGCCTGTGAGATATATATGGCTCACAGATGGCAGTGAGGCTGTCAGTCTTATGCACCAGCCACCATTTACTCCTAGGAAGAATCCTGGTACTCATTCCTGCTAGAGACCAAGTATACCCCACGGCCAAAGTGCAGTTGGAAGGATTAGGTAAATTGAAAAAATCCAATGACCTCATCAGGAATCAGACCTGTGACCTTCCAGCTTGTAGCATAATGCCTCAACCAACTATGCTAGCGCATACCCCCTGAAACTAGTTATTACATTACTTAAAATTTGTTTAAATGAAACTTATGTTCGTGTACACAAACATGATGTATTTCCTCTTCAGCAAGGTGTGAAGTAACAAGATGCTTATATGACCCCTTCTTCACAATATGCCATTATGAAAACTCAAGGGAATTAAGAGGAGCTGCAACTGAATGGAATGTGCCAGCTGTGTGGCATAAATAACACAATATTGTTAGACAACACTTCAACTGCCAAATAGGATTGATGACTGTTGTAGTAAGGATTTCTCAGCTGCTCCTGACAATAAACTGGTGTCTCAACTTCAGTGACATGGGTTTTCTTTGGAATTTCCTAAATAGAAATATATGCCAGACTAAGACATGTGGCTTTTCTTTGTCTCATTATTTCTTTGAAAATAATATTAATGAATAGTTCCGCAAACATCAACAAGGATCATGAAGTCAGTATGAGGTATGCCAGCACTGGCATTGATGGACAGAGAATAATTTACTGATTGTTATATAATAATGCTGGGCAAAAAAAAAAAAAAAAGACACAATCTGGTTATGATTTTATTTCATCTGAATTCTGTAATTTCAAACACTCTACACTTCACTTAGTTCGTTTTATTAATATGGCAATACTCATAATTCAGTTGTTACTATGAGTGTGTGAAAATACTGTGTGACGGCAGGAATACCTGGCTGTACTGTGCCAATATAGCTTCACGTATCCTTCGTTCTTCTTCTGTGTATGTTCGTTGCACAGTGGTTGGCCGTGGCTGTGACTCAAGAAGCCGTACTAACTTCAGATCCATATCTTCACCACAGCCTGCATTATTTCCTGTTACCCCATCTGTGGTTTGTGACACCTTTTTCCATCTGTCAAGTATTTCACGGCAGTGTGTAGGAATATCATCTTCCTGCAAAGTTCAATACAATTCTGAATGTAACAACGACTTGCAGTGAGTATAATTTTACTTTAATGAATTATATTAATAACAATAACCGTACGAAGCAAATATAAATACATCCACATAAATTATCTAAAGTCGTTAGATCTGGGATTATCTCGGCGGTGACTATGACGAGTGATATTTTCTTGGATGTGGCGGCATGTTGTCTGGTAGCAGTTTGCCGACGTTTTGGATGAATGTACTATCTTCAGGGTTGAAGGGTAAGCCGAAGCAAACAGCAAGCAGGGTGCCTTCTTGGGCAAGCCTGTAAATTCCTACCAGACTACACGGCGTCACATGCCTAAAGCTAGTACTCTTTATCTAACCTCACTTCAAATAAAGAACGTCCAAGCACGATATTAACATACCGTTATTTCTGAAAGTATACCTTCCAAAGCTTCTGTCTTATCTTCAAGTGTTTCTTCTCCTTCCAAGATTCCTTTTATATACGTACTGAAAACTCCTTCATCGGTATTTAAAGCTTTCAATTTTAAACTCAGCCATGACTCAAAATCATCACCTCCTGCTGCCATATTTTAATGATCGCACACAGATCATGGCCTCCTCCAATCGTAGCAAACTGTGAAAGACGAATACGAAGTAAGAGCACACACACACACACAAATATACATATATTGAATCTAATTCATTGGCTTAATTTTGTAACAATTGTGTGCCAAATCCGTAACATTTCGTGTTGTCCATGAGAGTAGGAATATTCTCCTAACCGCTCCTAACGTCCCTGGAATTTAGGAAAAATTTTGGAGTACATTGAAGGCCATTACGTTTAGCTAAAGAATTGTCTTTCGTGTCGGTTTCGAGTTTCTCACAGTGGTAGTATCTTGTGGTTTGTAACGCCGTGTAGTCCGTTGACAGTCTATCGACGTTTCGGAGGAACATGTCGCCTCCATCTTCAGGGTCGAAGAATAAACTCTTGAGTACAACCTTCTTTCGCGCACATTTCTTACACGTCGAATTTATCGACCCTGAAGATGGAGGCGGCATGTTCGTCCGAAACGTCGATAGACTTTCAACGGACTACACGGCGTTATATCCCAGAAATAAGACTGCTGTTTAAAAAAGGTGACAAATCAAATATTTCTAACTATAGACCTATATCTCTTTTAACTTCATTCTCTAAGGTATTAGAAAAAGCTATGATCATTCAATTGATTGAGCCCTTAAATAACAATAACATTTTAGTGAAGAACAATTTGGATTTAGAACAAAATCTTCAACATATGAGGCTGTATACAAGTTAGTGAATGAAATCTGTAAGACCTTAAACACCAAAAACTTAATAGGAGGCATTTTTTATGACCTTGAAAAGGCCTTCAATTGTGTTAATCATGAGATTCTGTTGTCGAAATTGGAGTTCTATGGGATAGAGGTAAAGCTAAACTGTGGCTTGAATCGTATTTCAGAAATAGATATCAGAGGGCTTTAATTACAGATCTAAATATAAATCTCAATAATTTTTGACATGGGGAAAAATTGGGCATGGTGTCCTGCAAGGTTCGATTCTGGGTCAATTGTTATTTCTCATTTATATAAACGATTTACCCAAAACTATAAATGATAAACTGTACCTATATTATTTGCAGATGATACTAGTTTGTTAGTTAAAAGTTCAAACTATGATGATCTTTTTGTAAATGTAAACAATGCTTTTCATACTATTAAATGAATGGTTCAAAGTAAACCAACTTTCTATAAATTTTAACAAAACCCACTACATTCAATTTACAGCTAGAAATAATAATCCTAAATCTGAAATAAAAATTTTATATGGTAAGAAACAAATTACATCTATATCAAATTTCTTGGAATATTAATTGATGATAAAATGAGCTGGAAATACCACATTGAATATATTAGTTCACAACTAAGTGCAGTCTGCTACATGATAAGATCACTTAAACCATACATGTCCATAAATACCTTAAAAATCGTTTATCACTTTTATTTTAATTCTATTATAAAATATGGTTTACCCTTTAGGGGTAACTCACCCCAAAGTATACAAATTTTTAGAACCCAAAAGAATATAATTAGGATTATGTTGGGAGACAGAAGGAGGAATTCGTGCAGAAACTTATTTAGAGAATTAGAAATCTTACCTCTGGAATCTCAGTACATGCTATCTCTCAGGCTCTTTGTGATAAAAAACAGAAACAAATGCATAGTAAATTTAGAGATTCATAGAATAAATACCAGACAGCAAAATAATCTCCAACTGCCTCTTGTAAATTTGTGGTTTGTAGAGTTATTTCTTTCCACAGTCCCCATGGATATCTTTTCCTCCTGTGTTTGATGTGGTCTACTTGCATGTTCTCTTTGGCCCCCTATTTTCATCCATTCACAGTTAATGCTCAAACCATTCCATTCTTTCCTCTATTCTTCTTGCATATACCTTATTCCTCTTAGTTTGTCATTTTATATTCTGTCTTTGATAATTTTGAATGATATGCTTGCTAACTCCATAATTGGTGTACAAAATTTATTCGATACGAGGCTGTTATTTTTCGTTAATACTTTATTTGTTTCCATTATACAAAATAATGATGTAGTGACACTGAACATATAAAAGAGCTGCCCATGATATAAGAATCAATGGAGCAATGTTCTTCTAGAGGCGCTAATAGTTGTTCAGCTGGTATAGAAATTATCACCATTTATTAAAACTTCAAGGTTCCTGATCTTGAGCCAGACAAATTAACTCCCTGCTTTTTCATCCTGTTTTTCAAAAGCCATTTTAATAATACATGTATGTATGCCTAGGCCTTCCAAGTTCTTCATTCAGGGCGTCTTAGAAAAATTTATGTGCCAGGGAGGCAATTGAAATTGAGGTCTATTCCAATAATATTGTCACGTAATATGTGTGTGACTATAGATGGTGTTTCAGATTGGATATTGGAAGTGTTGACAACTTACAGGATGTAATTACAAATAACCATAACACTGCTGGTATTGTCAGACTTTACAAAATCAGGGCTAAGTCTTTTCCAGCCCACAGTGTCTTCACTAGACGTTTCCAGGTAGCAGTTTCTAACAATGGCTATTCCTCTGCTTCTGGACTCAAGTCCTTTCAACTGAAAAGCTGGAAAAGTCAAAGTCAAATTCAGAGTTACTTATGACTGGCAGTTTACTGCCAATCAGTTCTTGGCGCCTAGCCCCCTGAGTATCATGACCAGATTTCTTTTTTTAACTGAAGCCTTACAGTCACAGTTATTATGTAACATTCTCTTGTACAAGAAGTTGAGTTTGTTTCTTATGAATGTGCTTGGCCTTTCAAGCGCACATTTCGCACATATAGCATGTTACTGAAAATTCTTCCTTTTGCACTATATACAAGTCCTCTGTCAGCACAGGCTCTGCAAAGCAGATCATGCCTATCTTAAACACCATTCCTCTGTTGCTGTTCAATTGTATCCATGGGAACATGTTTGTTTGAGCAGTTGTTATTCAGCAATGGCTCTGGTATATTTGCTTATTAAGAATCTGCTGCCATGCAATGGACGTTGTTCTGTTGTTTGTTTTGCAGCTGTTGCCTAAAACCAAGTTGTTTCAGAGCCGTTCACTAGCAATGGCTGTTTCTCTGGCTACGCAGTTTTTGCTTTCAGCTAAGATGCCACAATACGAACATGGAAGTTGGCTTCTCTCTAAGTAGGTCAAGGAAACCTCTCCTCTGCTCCCTGAGAGATCATATGAAGCCTCTCTCATAGGACCATACAGCGAGGTTCTCGATGCAGCCATGTATATCTCTACACACTGCCCTTATTATAAGGGCAAAATAATAAATTGTTCCTATTTCCAAAGTCTACTTATTTGGTTTCATTTTAATACTCTATATTTCAGTACTTTTTCCACGTGTATTACTGAATTTGAAAGGAACTTCATTCCTTTACATACAGATATGTATTCAATCTACGGAGCAAGAACACACACACTCTTCTGTGTTCACGGTCTTCAATGTCTTCAAACAGGTCGCTGCACCACCAGTCCTGCTGTGTCTGTTTTATCCCATCCGATGCAATACAACTACGCGCCCACTCGGCGGCAGAGTCGGCAAAAACCGCTCCGTGTGTCATTATAGTGTCGTTTCTTGCATCAAGAGTGAGGGGGGGGGGGTTCCTACATGTGTGGGAACTATCTTACCGACGTCGGCGCCACTTATTGTCACATTTGTCAATTGGAGCACGGCCTCTCGCCAGTGATACATTTTCTGTTCATAGATGGCAGTAGAATCTGATCGTAGGCCACTGTAGAATATCATTTGCTGTACACACTGGTTCGTACTCCCGAGCTGCTGTGTACATATTGAACTGTGCTTCCAACATATAACACAACAGCAAACATGGAAGACGTACTGGATGAGGTTGTATCGTCAGAAGATTTGAAGGTTGGCGAGAACTATCTGTTCTTTGAAACAGTAAATATAAGCACATTAAAAATACTGTCACTCATTTATCCGAATTTGAAATCGGATTTGTAATGTGTGTTTTGCTACGGATTATTATCTTTTTAGAATTAGTATTTTTTTTCGGTTGAATGCGTCACATATATTCTCAATCAGAACGGTTTTGTTGCACAGAATCCCAAAGTTAAAGAGCATAAATTCTATGGAGGGTAATAATTGTTCTTTTGCTTGAAAATGATCAAGAGTGATAAACTGCTATGGTATTGATAAATTCTATGGAGGGTAATAATTGTTCTTTTGCTTGAAAATGATCAAGAGTGATAAACTGCTATGGTATTGATAAATTCTATGGAGGGTAATAATTGTTCTTTTGCTTGAAAATGATCAAGAGTGATAAACTGCTATGGTATTGATGCACCATCATATCTAGCAGTTTTTTTTTTTACTTCATACGCACTCTTATTCGGAGTTGCAAGTTAAATTTGGACTTCAAAAACTACATCTTGAAGGTACAGATAGAAATTTTATGAGCTTTAAACATACGGTAGGTATTTAATGTAAGTAACAGTGCAGCATGGTAATGTCTTCTTTTGCAAAACAAATAGTAATTTACTGCCAAGGATTGGACACAAACCAGAGGTATATTAGTCTACCCACCTCGCATCCTTGCAATATGGTTCCTGTCATGGATGTTCCAAGTGACTGTTTTCTAAGAGGTTCTGTTATCAAAATTCTGTGTACATTCCATGTCTCTCCAGACTTGGTGACATGTGCAGGCCATTGTTTCATTTCATTTATTCACCTTCCATAAATCCTGTCGAGAATACATTCTCATGTGGATGTGGAGATCGTCCTTGTTACAGCCACAACTAAGAATTACAATTGTCATCCAGTAGCATACACATTTGTAATAAAATACTGATGAACATATACAATATAATAAATAAGTTAATTTTAGTAGTAAAAGTAATGGCAAATCTTATACAATTTGTACAGTTTTATACAAGTCTATTAATTAAAAAATTCAATAGTTAAAACACAATGTCATTAATGAGTTGTATAACATTCATTAATAGTATAATAAATTTAAATAAAGACTAGTATACAATGATATAAAAATTGTGTATATCTAAAATAAGTAACTAAAAACTAGAACACAGGCTGACAATCTTGTCTTCTTTAAATTGTAAAGTAAGACAGTTACTTGCATCTTAAAAAGATTTATAACTGAAATATTCCTGTAATGAATAAAAAGAATGTAAATATAAAAATTGTTTAATTATACTTCAAAACTCATTGTGTCACTCAATATATCCTTAATATGTTGTGGTAGATTATTATAGACCTTTGTTCCTAAACAATAAACTCCCTTTTGGAACATGATTTATTTTATCCGTCTTCTAGTGCATACATTCATCTATCCCCTCTTCTCACTCGCACTACATGTTTTGGCACAAAAGTGCCATCTTCAGGTGCTGATCCAATCCACGACAAACTAGTTCATTGCATGCCTTGTCTATACATACTAAAATAACTAAAATATATATTTATCTTATATACTGATAAATGTTAAGTGTTAAAATATTAAAATTGTACAGGATATTTCATTCCTACGTCGTGTTTCATTACGCGAGTCACGTTTATCATCTTCTGTTGGAGCACTCTTTCACTATCGTGTATCTGTAACATGAATTTGTTATTCATTAATACCGCGTTCCGCATCCTATCTATTACTTGTGGTATTATAATTTTTAATGTTTAATACTCACTGTGCTCTATGTTGCGCCTTGCTCCTGTGACTGCGTGTGTTATATTGCTGGACCTGCTGGGTATGTGTGTGTGTGCTGTCTTTGTTTTGACTGTACTGGTGTTATTATGTCTTGTGTCATGTATGTGTTCTTTATATCTGGTATTAAATTTCCTCCCGGTTTGTCCTATATATTCCTTGGGGGAAATCTAGGCATTTCATACTATATATGCCGCTATTGTTATATTTATTTATTTATTTCTGGTCTTGATTTTAATATATGTTGTAAATTGTTCTTACTTCTAAATGCTATTTTTAATTTTGTGTCTCGAAATAATTTTGTGATATTTCTTGTTTCTTTTCCTATATATGTGAATGTTGCCCATTTCGTTTTTGTTTTTTGTTCTTCTGAATCCTCTATAATGTTCTGCTTTTTTGCAATATTTTGTTTTCTGTTATTTCTAGTTAGGTTTNTCCCTTTTATGTTTCCTTTTGGAATTTACTCAAATTTACAAGAGGCAGATGGAGATTATTTTGCTGTCTGGTATTTATTCTATGAATCTCTGAATTTACTATGAATTTGTTTCTGTTTTTTATCACAAAGAGCCTGAGAGCTAGTATGTACTGAGATGCTAGAGGTAAGATTTCTAGTTCTCCAAATAAGTTTCTGCACAAATTCCTCCTTCTGTGTCCCAACATAATTCTAATTATAATCTTTTGCGTTTAAAAAATTTGTATATTTTGGGGTGAGTTACCCCTAAAGGGTAAACCATATTTTATAATAGAATTAAAATAAAAGTGATAAACGATTTTTAAGGTATTTATGGACATGTATGGTTTAAGTGATCTTATCATGTAGCAGACTGCACTTAGTTGTGAACTAATATATTCAGTGTGGTCTCATATATTTTACTATCTCTACAATACTAGATGATCCATTACAGGTTCCTCATTATTAATATTGAGGAACTTGTAATAGATAATACTGAAATATTAAATTGTTCATTCCATCTTAGGACCATCAAGTCTTATATGTATTTGATAATTCTGAAATTTCAGAAATATGAGCGTGTTTATCATGAACAGCTTCATAAAGGACCTGTAACACAGAAAGCACAGTTTGAGTACGCTTGGTGCTTAGTGCGAAGCAAGTATCCAGCGGACATTAGGAAAGGTATCATTCTTCTTGAAGAACTTTACCAGAATGGTAATGCAGAAGGAAGAAGAGACTATTTGTACTACTTGGCAATAGCAAATGCTAGAATAAAGGTGGGTGAAGTTATACGTAAAATTGTAGATTCTCTTTTGAATCTTTTTTTTTAATTTTCTCATATTTTTCATCTTCATGTGGTTTTCTGTTTGTAGTTTACACAGTAATCTGTTCTAGTGTCCATCTTCCTGACCTTGTTCTTTCATATTGGACTTTTTTTTTATTGCTAGTGGGTTAGGACTAAGTCCCTTGTACTGTGGCTACTTCTGGCCTATTGTACCAGCCCCAGATGATAGGTGAGGGTGATTGTGGAGCAGTTGGTGGAATGAAGATTGGCAGGGGAAACCAGAGTCCTCGGACAATACCTGCCCCAGCGCCAATTTGTCCATCACAAATCCCACTTGACCAGACCTGGGATCGAACGCAGGCCGCCACAGTGGGAAGCCAGCAACTGACCACTTGAGCTGTGGTGCAGCCCTTCATATTGGACTTTGTATAAGTTGTATGTTTACATGTTAGGCTCTCACTTCTTTTTATTTCATGAGGTAACCAGTGGAACACAATTTTTTGTTATCTTTTCTTTCTTTGTTGAGTATGGCCATGCCATATTCAGTTCTTTAATTTTCTAGCTTTTTTGTCATTGTTGAAGTAGCATATATTTCTTCCCATAAACAAATTCAGTCTTCTGGGATGTACTGCCATAGTCAGTAAGTTTGTGGACTGGCCGCAAAATGTTCTTGTAGTGCACTACAATGGATAGGTTGAGGCATGATATGTTGCCCTGTCAGTTCATCTCTCGTCACAGCAAGAGGCAGGTGTGTGCAAACAGTGTAAGCAAAACTACAGCCTCTATTGTGAACTGCAGTTAAATGCAAGTGGCGGAAATTGAAAATGTGGCAGTTTGAACAACCGGCAAACATTAAGTTCTGCCAAAAACTAGGCAAATTCCCTAGCGAAACGTTTGGCGTATGAAGAATTGGCCATTGCTACATGACAATGTCTCTGCACATCGCACTGTTCTTGTCCAAGAGGAACTGGCAAGGCAACAGGTTATTGTTTTGCCACACCCTCCATACTCACCTGATCTCTCACCATGCGATTTCTTTCTCTTTCACTGCATGAAAGAAAAGCTACATTGTCATAGATTTCAGTCGTCCGAGGAGGTCGTCTGCCACAAGATGCCATATGGGAATTTCCTGCTAATATGTTTCAGCAATGTTTTTGGCAGCTATATCAACGTTGGCAGACTTGCATAGTGGCCAACCACAACTGTTTTGAGGGCCGATGTGGATCTGTGTGAGTGTATGTGAATACCTTGTAATATGATGCGATAAAACGACAGTCCACGAACTTAACGACTCTACCACATATTATGTAGTCCATTGGAAGTCAAAATTTTGGAGGAACACATCAGCTCCATTTTTTGGGTTGAAGAGTAAGCCAAGGAAGAAGCCAACATAAAACAGACAACAAGCACCAGATTATGGACTATATGGCAGTATGTCCCAGAGGACAGAACTCTTTATAACCACCCCTGTTACCCATAAAGTTTTCATTTGCCACTACTTTCTTTTGTTACCTGAATGTATCATATTAAATCATCAGATAACTGCTCTTATGTTACTACTCCACAGATCTTCAGTCAGTGCCAGATTCTGCCTCCACATAACAATATTATTAGCTGTATTTAGGGGCACATTAAAGCATAGTTGGTTGAGGCACTGTGCTACAAGCTGGAAGGTCATGGATTCAATTCATGATGAGGCCATTGGAGTTTTCAATTTGCATAAGCCTTCCAGCTGTATTATGGCTGTGGGGTTGACTCAGCCTCTAACAGGGATGAGTACCAGAAATTCTCCTGGGAGTAAAGGGTGGCTGGTGTGTAAGGCTGAGAGCCTCACCGCCGTGTGTGAGCCGATCGTCTAGAAAATGTGGGAACCACGATGTCTCACAACTCAGTGGGCCTTCACAGTCTGTTACAGCAGTAGCTTTGCCTCATTACGTTTATTGTGAAATAAACTTCCGATGATTTGAAAGGATATATTTGTATTCCAATATGATTCCAAATAATGTTTTGGTAAAACATAAAATAAAGCTATCCCTGTTACAGACCGTGGAGGCCCTTAGGATTGTGAGATGTCAAGTCCCCCACATTTTCTAGACAGTTGCTCACAGATGGTGGTGAGATTGTCAGCCTTAAGCTCCAGCCTCCCTTAACCCCCATGAAGAGTCCCTGTACTTGTTTATTTTAGAGGCTGAGTTGACCCCAGGACCATGGTGCAGTTGGAAGGATTAGATCAATTGAAAAATCCAGTGACATCGGAAATCGAACCCGAGACCATCCGACTTGTAGCATAGTGCCGTTCAATGTTTTGGTAAGGTAAAGTAAATTTGTTCCTGTGCTTAACTAAGCACTGTGCCATTAAGGTGTTAGGGGGATCGACTCTATAGATATGTACTATTAATAATACTGCAAGCATGGCCTAATATAGTGATTTGTGTTGTTACAGGAATATACTAAAGGCCTGCATTATGTCAGAGAATTTTTGAAAATTGAGCCGGGAAATCAGCAGGTTCATAATTTGGAAACATTAATCAAGAAAAGGATGGAAAAAGGTTTGTGCTTTTGTAGAAAGTGATATTATTTCATTCCTGTTTAATTTGCTTTAAGTGACAAACTATCATGTCACCTGTAGTGTAAGCCTCTGTTAACATTAATGGAATTTTTTTTACAATTACAGAGGGTCTGATGGGAATGGCTATGGCAGGTGGCGTTGTCTTGGCTATTGGTGGATTGGTTGGACTAGGCTTGGCATTATCAAGAAAGTAGCACAAAGACATCATTCATCACTGTGGCTTGGTTGTGGTTATGCCTGGTCAGGAGTATTAAGTAACATCTTGTATCAAGTTCCAAGAATACGTGCTACTCCAGCCTGCATATCTGACTGGGAGCACATCATCTTGACTGGTGTTGCAAGTGATAGGTGTTAGGAATTTCGTTTTATTGAAAGTGAAATAATTGCTTGAGTTCTGTGTTGCATTCATTTTTTTTGTTTGTTTGATTTTTGTGGAAAGTATCTTATTTTTTAAATACTTGTATGATATTATTTCTGTGATAAAATATCTAATTGCTACTTATTATATTGTCTGTTTGAGAATTGTTTAGATGTATTGTTCCTTCTGTACTAGTTGCACATATTCCACAACATGAAAATATTTAAGGCATGTAGAAATACACATGCATAAAATTACACCTGAAGCTGCTTATAGCAACATTTTGGATTAAGAAATATGTTCAAAGTGTATCATGAATGTGATTTTAGTCTTAATTTCATCAGCAACTGAAGTAGCAGCAAACACTTTGTAATACTAAGTCTGAAATTTGCCCACTTTTGTGCCATTAGTATTGAACTGATCAGGGACATTCCAGAATAAAATATGGAACAGAATCATAAGTAAAAATGTATATAATTTGCATTAAAGTAGAATTGTATTGGTATCTACCATTGGATGTACAGTATTTTGTATTTCTGCAGTTCATCATAATTGTAATTTTACTGCTTATAAAGATCAGCACTCTTTAATATTAAATTTAACTGTGTTGTTATTTATTGTAAGAGTAAAAAAAGAATCCTGCACCAACACACCTACTCAGTGATTGCTATTAAAATATATTGTCTGTAACTGGAGCTATTGTAATGTTATTGTGTGGCTAGTTGAAGAATATTTGAAACAGATCTAAAACTTCCATTGACCTGACACCATTCTTGCCTCTATTGTCAGTATTTTGTAATTGTTTAGCAAGACCAATGTTTTTCTAAAAGAAAAAAATAAATAATTTCCAAAATTGTTCAGAGTGGGGGGGGGGTAGTTTTATCGGGAACATGTACACAAATTATTATTTTAACATATTGTGACTTGGATGGCGCAACAAGAAGTAGGGGTCACGTGAACTCTACGGTCTTGCAAGTGATGTCACATATGCCTTCTTGTTGCTCCATCCACGTCACAATATATTATCTTTCAGTGAGGGTTTACAATTTGCAAATTTTGATTTGCTTAAAAGCACTTCACATTTTCTCATAAAACAAAAAATGCAAGGAATCCTGCGCTTTGACCATGTTTTCATCATACTCTGTGTTCCTGATGCTATTTTTTCAGTGGCTCTTCCAGCCCATTCAGGGCCCAGACCTCTTAGTCAGTTCTGTAATCATTTTTCACAGATGGTAGGACACATGGGTGAGTGATCAGCCCGTTGCAAGGCCGCTACCTAAACCCAGGACAACACAGAATAACACACACCAAGCATCCATGCCCTGAGTGGGATTCGAACCCATGATCCCAGCGTGCAAGCGAGTGAAGACAGTTCATTACGAAGATCACACATCTACCGTGACTGGCTGACTCTCTTTACTGTTGGTATTGACAGCTGATTGACATCATCTCAGAGTCCATGACTCAGTGTATTTTCTAGGGTAGAAGACAGAGGTGGTTCAACAACATGCATAAACGAAACCACAGAAATGGTTTTGGTTAAGAGGGATGTTTTTGTTGAAGTAAGGATGAAGTTCATCTGGGAAAATCTCTCTACTCACTCAAATAAATTGGTACCATAATAAAAGTGTTCTTCAAATCAACCAAATTTTCAGGGACTGTCTTCTGATTTAAATAATCCTAGAATCCATTAATTGACTCTCCTTCATTCAGCTGCAGCCTATTTGCGAAACTCTGTATCCAGTTTTCTACAAATATTAGTGCTGTGTTTTCAGGCAATCTTGTTGGATATAAATTATGAGTACAGTTAATGTAGTTAGAGTCATCATTTCTAAGGAGCCATTCTTTGATGGACATTTTATTTGCTCATAAAATGTGTTTGGACTGATAGGAGGATCATTTTTTTATATTATTATTATTATTATTATTGTATGCTGCTCTATTTGGAACTCAAATTCTCACATTGTGGCTTTGTCTGTGTATGTTTGCTTCTGTATCTTATTCATGCTAACTGTGTAATTAATATAGAGTATCATTTTGGTATTTTGTTTTTTAATTATTGTGTATTTCTCTATTCATTCTAGCTTTGTAATTGGCGTCTGTGCTGTTAAGTTTGCACGTAAATAAACATGAATTTTATTATTATTATTATGAAGCTGATACTCCTCAAAGTTAAGATAATTAGCAGCTGTAGTGCTGCAATTATAATATTTTCGTGGGGCATTCTGTCTGCGAAAATTTGTACAGGAGCCATAACCTTCATATCTGTCTGGTATAAATTAGTGTTTTGGTCTTGTAGCTCCATGCTCAATTGCAACAGTTCCTGGGGAGCATCACACAGCCTCAAATTTGAAACAAATTAAATTTATGTAATTTGTCTCATCAGGCTCTGATATTTGCAGATACCTTTTCTGTCACTTGCGAGTTTTTTTTTTATTTATTTATTAAAGTGTCAAACCAATGCATCATAAGTTTTCCATACATCCAAAACCAAGCAGTATGTTAATACCATCCACCAGGTGCTTAAAATTTTTCCAATTTTGAGTAGCTGAATTTCTAGCAACTAGCACATTCATGTAATGAATTCCCTGCTCTTCTTTATTGATGCAGGATAGATGACATATAGTTTATCCATACATGCCCTGAACCTGTTAATTTCAGCTGCAACTGTTACAGTATGAATGACTGATAGCTCCAGCCTGTGATTGGAATAGTGCCAGATAGTAACTGAGGACAGCTCATCTTGTAATAATTTAGCAACTCAACTCTTGTGTCCTAACATCACCTCTGCAACATTGCATGCCACACTCATCAAGTAGGAGCTTAAAAATGGTCCTTTGTTCCCATACAGTTGTAAACAATTGAGTAAGGCTTGAAAATTTCCATTTGTTTCAGCACATTGCAATTGCATTAAATAAAAAAATAAAAAATTTGGAGGTTAGTGCAGCCCATAATTTGCAAGACATATTTGACCATTAATAATCACAATTGATTTCATGCAGAGGTGTTGACTTGTTGATTATTATTGAAGTCTTACTTTTTGATCTAATTATTACATTCATACAAAAATATTCTCATTTCACTGCTGCTATGATTGACAGTGTTTGTACAGGTTTTTGCAGAATGTAAAATTATACCCATGTTTATATTATTGAGTTCTTGCAAATTTATTTCAGCTTCAAAATTGTGAAAGACTTGGTTTACTTTTGGTACTTTGTATGCTGTACAAAAAATTGTCAAAGTTATTTCTTTCTCACAGGCCAGGGTCTATACAGGAACATTAGGAAGAGTTTCTTTCTTAGCTTTTGCAAGAAACTTTAATGCTGCCTTTTCACATGCATTTCTCTTCACAGCAATTATAGTTGCTGAGATCTGTTTTTACCATAATATGTCACTTCATTGTTAGCCGACTCTCTGGCAACTCTCATGCCAGCCTCTCAGTGCTAAGAGTACTGATTTTGCTGCCAGGCCTTCTGATGCTTATTGTGAGCCAATTATGTTTGCTGGAAAATTCATTTTTTGTTCTGTTGGCTTGACCAGTTGGCATCAAAAGATGAATTACGCTCTGAAGAAATAGGAACTGTACCATGTTTATGCTGAAGAAATGGGAAGCAGAAGATGATGTTGCCTCACGCTTTGATGAGAGTGACTTATTTTTAGTTCCAGTTTCCATTTGTTTGGTGTATTTTTTGTTGTCTGCACACTCTTGTTAGTGTGAAAAATAACTTACCATATTTTTCATTTTAATAGTGTGATTTTTTAAACTCGGTACACCCACGTGTCAGAATTTGTAAAACCATGCACTTGCAGCCATTCAAGCACAAATTTTATGATAATACTGTAATGAACTGACAAATTTGTTATGGGACTTAGGGCATGAGCAAGCGTTGACTCCTCTTAGAAAGAAGAGTGGCAGAATAGCATGACATGCCTAACTGCATGATGGCAACTATGGTGTGTTCACTGTAAGGGTAATCATGGTGTAAACATAGGATTCAATATCCTTCCACCTGACATTTCTATGATTTGTGTGTATCTCACCCACCTCTCTACCAGCTGCTGTATCTCCAGAAGTTTGAAAGTTTTGTTATGTCTAGCCATGTATCCCTTCAGAGCTGACTCCACACCACCTCAGTAGGGTTCAAGTTACAATGATCAGGTGACAGGTTCTGGACTCCTGCTGTGGCTTGCATCATTCTGAGAAAGAACTTTCAGAATGACATTCTGGCATGTTCCATCACAAAAACACCTCTGAGCTGGGCAAGTATGTTATATGCGTGTGGGCTTGTAGGCAGTGGCATTCAGCTGTTGGCCATATTTAGAGCCTAATGAAATGACATCTAATGGATAGTCCAGAGGCTTACCCGTTCACATGTGCATGTTCCCATGTGTAGTCCTCTAGGGTGGGGTGGGAGTGAGCCCCATGGTACTGAGCCTGTAACTGGCCCGTTGTGCCAGCTTCTGACGACAGATTACAAAAGTGGAATGCTGGAATAAGAATTAGTAAGGAAAATAAATGAAGCTATCCCTGTAAGAGGCTGTGAAGGCCCATGGGGTTGTGAGACGTTGAGGGTCCCACATTATCCAGACAATCAGCTCAAAGATGGCGGTAAGGTTGTCAGCCTTACACGCTGGCCGCGCTTTACTCCCCAGGAAAATTATTTAATTAATTCCTGGTACTCATTCCTGTTAGAGGCTGAGTTGACCCCAGGGCCATAGTGTGGCTGGAAGGATTAGGTCAATTGAAAAAAAAAATCCAATGACCTCATCGGGACTTGAACCCGCAACCTTCTGGATTGGATTAGTAAGGAAAGCTGAAGTAATTTGAGAAAACCTACCCCAGTGCCATTTTGTTCACCATATGCTGTACATGAATTGATGTGTGATTGAATGCAGACTGTCTATCTGTGGCTCTACCACCCTTTGTTGGGCCTTGGCCGATTTTACAGTTACTTGGTCTTTTTACACAGTTGGTAGGACTCCTTGGATTGGGGATCAGCCTGTCACATGGCTGCTACCTGCACACAGGACAACACAACCATAATAAACGCAGACAAACATCTGTGCCTCAAATGAGATTCAAACCCATGACTCCAGTGTTCAAGCAAGCAAAGACGGTGGCCACTGTGATATGCTGAATGCAGACTACCATGGCGAATAACTTATGTATAACTGCCTGGGCTATGGCATGGCCTCCTGTGTGTAGGTAGTAACACTGCTTATAGAGATGAGTGCTGATAGAAGTGGAAACTGCTTTTGACAAAGATGAATATTTTATTTTTTTTTTTTGTTTTGTTATCATACACAGAAACCCTCCCCATGCTCAACCACGAGGTTGGTCCACAGTTATAAAGTACAGTTTCATACTGATTTAACTTAGGTCACATATGTCTAGTTTCCTGCATTGTTTTCATATTTATTAGATACAAACAGAAGCTCCATAGATGAATATTTTATGTTACACATGATTTCTTCCTGTGACATTCTGTTTTGGGCAATGACTGTCAAATATTAGAGCATATGTTCCTAGGCACTTAGCCATACAGCCTTGTCTGGCCATGAA